GTCAGCTACTTAATTAGCTTGTTCTTCAAGCTACCAACATATGTAACACATGGCCAACTTGTTGACCACATTTTTAATCTAAAAAGTCAATTATAGATACTTATAAACTCAAAGCAATGTCTATGAAGCTTTTAAGAAGCTTCTATAGAAGATATTATGGAATTAATCTACTTTTATCTACTTTAAACTAATCATATGGATAATTATTGGTTTATATGTATATGTCCATAACATATATATAGCATTTGACCTCCACTCTTATATTTTGTAAGATACTTGATAATTTTTGAAATTTATAAATGACCATCTATCAAGGATATATATTAATTTTAATTATTATTTAGGTAATATAATATATTTTATACTACTCAAGTCGATTTCTTAGAATATATCATTTCAAATAATAGACTTATTATAGATCCTAAGAAAATTCAAACTATTATGGATTAGAAGATCTCAAAAATGGTAAGAGATGTTCAATGTTTTTTGGAATTTGCCAACTACTATTGGATCTTCATCAAAGACTTCTCTCAAATTGTAGCTCTACTTATACTTTTGACTTATAAAGATAAGCTTTAATAGAATCAAGAAGCGGAAGCACCATTGAAGCTTTAAAAATAATCTTTATTTCTGCACCAATTTTGTAACAAGTCGACTTTTCTAAGCTATTTTTTTATAGAAATAGATGCATCAAACTTTGCTTTAAATGCCATATTGTGATAAATGGGAATAGATGATAAAGTCCACTCAATAGATTTTTATTCCAAATTTTTTTCAGTAATCAAAATCAACTACAAGATCTACGACAAAGAACTTTTTACAATCGTGGATTCGTTTCAAGAATGGTGCCATTATCTAGAAGGTGTTGCTAATCCAATTATTATATATATTGATCATAAAAATCTTTAATGTTTTATATCAATATACATTTTGAATTGTTGCTAAGCTCGATAGAACATGTCCTTATCAAAATTCAAATTTAAAATCACTTATCGACCAAAAAAACAATAAGGTTTATCATATGCACTTCTAAAATAATCTTATCTTATATCAAAAGAAAAAAAATTCTGCTTTTGATCAATAACAAATAATTTTCTTGAAGCCAAACTAACTTCATTTTCAAGCAATGAAATTAACACTAATTGTTGATTCAATTTTTATTAATCAAGTTCAATCAAGTATGTCTTCTAATCCTCTTATTTGTTATATTAAGAAAAATACTTTAAAGTTTCATGATACTTCTAAGTTTGAATTTAAGAACAATCTACAATATTTTGAGGGGTGCTTATATGTTCTAAGATGAAGCTTGATTATTTGTTCTTCAAGCTTATCATGACTTTATAGCAATAGGATATTTTGGGTACAATAAGACTTTAGAACTAATATTTAAGGATTTTTAATAATTCCAAATATAAAAGATAGTCAAAGATTTTATACAATCTTGTGATGTTTGTTCAAGATCAAAAACTCCTTGTCATTGATCTTATAGACTTTTTCAACCATTATCTATTTCAAAACAACCATGGTCTTTTGTTTCTATGGATTTTAGCACAGAACTTCTAATCTCAAGTTCTTATGACTCTATGTTTGTGATAGTAGATTATTTCACAAAGATAGCATATTTTGTATCACGTATAAAATCTATCACAAGTGAAGAAACAACCAAGTTTTTTCTTGATAACATCTATCACTATCATGGATTGCCTGAGGATATTATATCATATACGAGAACTCAGTTTGTATTAAGATTTGAAAAAATGCTTTTCAAGATTTTAAAGATGGACATAAAACTATCTTTGGCTTTCCATCCTCAAATCGATGGACAAATAGAGCATATAAATCAAATTTTGGAAGAATATTTTAAGCATATAATCAACTACGAATAAGATGATTGGACAATTCTTTTGTCATTGGTAAAGTTTATTCATAATAATACAATATATTCTTCCATATAACAAATACCTTTCTTTGCTAATTAAAATTATCATCCACAACTTGATGCTTTTGAATTTTTAAAAGATGATAATCCTAAAGCAAAAGATTTGATAAATAATTTATTTGAGTTACACACAACCATGAAGGCATGACTAACAGAGATTCAAGAACAACAAAAGAGCAATGCAGATGCCCATCACAAGGAACAACCTTATTTCTATGTTGGTAATAAGGTATGGTTACTTTGTCATAATATTAAAACTATTTGCCCTTGTGATAAGTTGGATTACCATAGTTTTGGACCATTTTTTATTTGTGAAGAAGTCAATCCAATTGCTTATTGATTACATCTATTGGAGTCTATAAAAATCCATCTCAAATTTCAAGTATCTCTTTTGAAACCATATAAAATAGTGAATATCTTGGAAAGAAGACAAATACCACCACTTCCTATAAAAGTAGATAATAATGAAGAATTTGAGGTCGAAGAAGTCTTAGACTTGAAGCAATGCTAACTTAGGTTGAAATATCTTATTCATTGGTTCAAATATAATATTAATAAATACATATGGGAGGTAGCAAAAAATCTTATAAATATAATAAAGAAAGTTAAAGCTTTTCATCAATGACATCTATTAAAATCAAGTTAAAAATAGTAAATCTTTGCTATAAATGAAACATAATTTGGAAGATATTGTATTTTATCTTCTATCCTTGTTTGTAGTTTCTATATAATTATAGGATTAAAGAGATGGATAATCAGCAGTCAATAGATTCAACTCAAGAACCATCATTTGTTGACATACTAGATGAAACATTACAATTATCACAACCTTGAAGATGACATAAAAGAAATGAAGACCTTCAAGAAAAACATGTTTTTCTTTGAATAGATGGTAAGTTATAATGTGTTTGGTATCATGACTTGAGAAGAGTCTTAATATTTGGTAATTTTATTGGTGATAGAAACGACTTTTGATGGTATTGCAAATGTTTTGTTTGAAAGAAGTTACAAAGGTCTCAACAATAATTAAATAACATGGTGATCTTTCCACCTTGGAATGGAACATTACCGACAGTTGAGATGACCTATCAATTATCTTTGAAAAGAATAAAGATTAATATACATGGCAAATATATATCACCTCATCTTAGATTTTTTCAATATGTGATTATTGCTCCTCATGGAACTTGTCCCTAGAAGAAGAGATAATGTCATAAACATATATTTATTGTAATTGTTATCTAAGTAATATGAATAGGTAGAAGTAAGTAAAAGTAGAATAATTTCATAATGTCTTCTAGAGAAGCTTCCTAAAAGCATCATAGATATTATATTAACTTTACATGTATTTGTAGTTGATTGATAGGTTAGAAACTTCATCAACAAGTTATCACATGCTATCTATATTAGTAGCTTATGGATCATGTTAAATATATGGCACTTATGTAAAAAACTTGTCTTATAAGTTAAGATACATGTTGTGTAAAAACAATATATTTTGGATGTCTTATAGAATGTCACCATATAGCTTTTAGATAAATAGTATATATAGAAGCAAGAGTGAAGCCTTTTTCATTCTTGTCAATTCTTTTCTTGCTTCTAGTCTAGTTTCAAGAGTCTCTAGTTTCAAGAGTCTCTAGTTTCTTTGTCTTTTGACAAACCAATTTTAATTTCTTTTTTAATATATATATTTTCCTATTTTTATTCTATCATATTTCTTTGAAAAAGTCTCACTTATTTATTTGCTTTCATCAAATTCTTGTCTCGGATATTATCTCAAATATAATTAAAGTACATAAAAAATCTTAGATTTTAATTTTATAATCTATTTTTATTTCTATACATATATTATGATCTTTTATATCATATCAATTAATTAAATATATATAATATTATATATATTTTTTAATATTTTTTTGCTTAATTCTTTTAAATTACATTTTATTTTATTTTATTATCTTGATAAAAGATTCTTTTTTGATTAGTTATTTATACAAAAATAATATACATACATTTTTTACAAAATTATCAAGGATATGAATCACAAATAATAAAAACATCAATATATTCCTGTACCATTCAAAAGAATAGATATTTACTCAAAAAATAGTATAGTATTAAACTAAAATGGCTATTGCCAAAGACAAGAAGACTCAAGATTTTGGAAACAAGATTAAAAATAAGAAAGGCATTGATAAAAGTGAAGAAGACTTTATTCTTACTTCTATACATTCTATCTAATTAGAAGCTTAATGGCGACATTCTTTAAGACCTTTGACATGTGTCAAACTTGCTAGTCATGTGTCTAACTTACAAGACAAGTTTCCTACATGTGTTCTACATAGTCAACTTGTACTATAAGCCACCAATATGTGCAATACATGGCTAACTTGTTGGCCAAGTTCCTAGCTTATCTATGATTTGTAAACATATGTAAAGTCAAATTTACATCTACAAAGCTTCTAAAAAGTTTACTACAAGATATTATCAAATCTACATACATTTATCTTCTACCTAATACTTCTTATTTAGTTAATTAAGTATGTCCATTGAATGACTTAAATTCTCTCAACTTATATTGGTTTTATTTTATTTTATTTTAATAGGAATATTTACCATAGAATCTTTTTTGAATTACAAAATGAAGATTTACTTGTTATAAAGATACTTTAAGATGAATCACAAACTACCAAATCATAAAGAATTAAGTGATGTATACTAGAATGATGAAATTAGCTACTAGCCTTTATCTAATCAAAATTGATAAATTGGAGCATTAATGTCTGAGCTTAGTTTAAATTATTTGAATGGAGGAGTTATCAGTAACCTTAAATCTAAGATCCAAACCAAATGGAGTGTCTCAGAATAGATTAATTTCTCTATCATTCATCAAATTCCATCGATAAATGCAAGTCAGTAATGGTTTTGACAGGGAAGAATACCACATGAATTGTAATTTCAACCAATAGATAAAGCAATTGAATGAGTTCTAATCATTGAACTGTGGTTGTATTCAATGCTGAATGCAATATTTCACTTCTAACCATGGATACGGAAGAAGTCAAAAAATTTGGAGGAAAATATATTCAAGTCTGCCACAAAGATTAATTGAAACTAGTAGCTCCAGAAGATTATATACCGAAAATTCAGAATACAAAACTATTGTGCTGCAGCTATTGACACTCAACGGTTTCTTTGAAAGATTGGTTAAGTGAGCGGTATTCTTTCAAAAATGAAATCTAAAGTAGAGTAAAATCTAGAAAAAGGATCAGTTAAATTACAGTCAACTGGGCTGCAGCTGCTGACTAGGGAGGGTTCGATGGATGGAATAGAAACAACCCCACACACTGACGGACCTCATGAGATGATGAGGGGCCATACTAAAGAGATGTAATTTGGGCAAACGAGCTACCCTTTGTGATTCTGTTATACTAACCTTTTATCCTAAACAATCGTACATCTGAGATGATTCTAAAACCGAGGTATTCTATAGATTTGTTCGTATAAGTGTAAGTTGAGTTATTATAGTTACAGAGTGGGTTTAGAGAGGCTCGTCGACAAACTCATCGAAATCTAGATTTTCCAGAAGAAGGCCCCTGTCCTCCAGTTCTCCAGCAATGCTTTCCTCTTCATCATCCTTGGCACAACTCCCGTCTGGCCCACTGTTCCAGCTACTCCGAGGACCAAGTCCAGGAGTAGATAATGACCTGAAAGATAGCATATTGGACTTCGACTCGGTTCGGGCAGTTGTTTCAGGCTCAACCTCCGTAAACTCAAACTTCACCCTCTCAGCCATGACGCACATGGGACACAGCTGTGGCTTCTGCATACGAGTCTCCAGCAAGCTTTGTTGCACTGCAGCTAGTTCAGCCTCATGCTTCCTCTTCAGCTTCTCCATTTCCCTATGAATCCTATTCGCTTCTTGACCGGCCATAGCTGCCGCATCCTGGACAGAACATAAACCCACTGATCAGAACAATGAACAAGAGCCAGAGAAGTGGTTATGACTAGCCTGATATCATTATGGTAGACGAAGTCGTACCTGGGCCATGCACACAGCTTCCTCGGCTTCCTTAAGCCTCACCAACAGCTCCCCAGCAGCCGCTACCGCTTCGACAGTATCTTGAAGCTGCGCTTGCAACGCCGCGGCCTCCTCTTTAGCAGCATCGCGTTCAAGCTCATGGTCTATCCGCATAGCTACGAGTTGCTCAGCTTGACACTCAAACCACCTTGTGTCCGTGGTAGTGACTCCAGCTTTCTTAGCTAACTTCTTTAGGTCTACCAAGCCTTCGCGTATCTTCCGGTTCTTCCCTAGCAAAGAGATGTGCTTCTCTTGAAGCTCAGCATACTGCTCTAACTGCCGTGCGTGCCCTTCCATTGCCATTTGAAGAGCTTCTTGTACCTCTTTGGCACACCTGGCCCCTCAAAACAATGACACAACTAATTACAACCAAATATTGCAAATACCTCATTATATTCTACAGTTGTCAGACTTCTACAGGATTCACGTGGTCGCAATGCAGAAGCTCCAGTCAACAAAACAAAACAAACGAAAAGAAAGCAGGAGTCAACCATCAACCATGCTTTCGGATTCGATGAAAATTCATCATAGAAACTACGTATTCAAGATCTATGAAAACACACCTCTTCTCGCCATCCAGTTCGACCTTCCTCTTCTCTGCAAGTAGCCTATATTTTTCAGACTCAGATTGCATCTCCTCCATCAGCGTGAGCCATTCGAGCTCTCTCTCCTGCCACAATCTACGCTCGATCGCCAACTGATCGGTCTCAGGGGCATCACCCGATTCCAAAGGACAATGAGAAACTGTAGTTCGAAGGCTAAGACCCGCTGCCGATTCACGGATGGCCTTCGAAGTCAAAGAGAGCCGCCGTTGCTTTGCAGGTCCTGGCGTGTCACACTCAAGGTAAGTCTGAAGGTGGTTTCGCAAGTCCATATTCTCCTGCAAAAGGACTTCTCTTTCTCCGAGGTCAAAGAAGGTCTTGTAACGACCCAGTTCATCCAGTAGCCTCTCAAGCTCCATTTTGGAATGAGTAACCTCGGGATGCTTATCGAATTTCTCTTGCAAGGTCTGACACACAAGCACACAGACCTGCTGTAAGCACATTGTACGCGTAAGGCATTCAAGCAGTCACAAGAAATACGATCACGGCCACAACACTCTTGTTCTAGGCTTCGAGGCAGTGGATATACGCGACTGCAGGTCAGCAATTTGACAGTAATTACCTTATGTTCATGAAGAAGCGCTGCCCATTCTTCGCTTAGAAAGGTTTCACGAGGAAGTACACCGGCCATGAGGGCTTCCAACCGAACGATTTTCTCTTCTCGGCTTTGCTGGATAACTGCATTGCATTCCCTTTCGTGCTTATAATGACGTACCTACAGTACAGTTAGACATTACTTGCCAGGTAACAAGAGGCGAATAAACCATCAAATAAAAACGAGTATCTGAACGTGGGACGCGAAGTAATATGTTGAGATAGAACACAAATCATCATGAAATGTACGCAGCAGTACCCGCACAAGCATAGAGATGAGTTCAGAGCTGTACCAGACGATTGAGCTGTTCTATCTCGGAAGCTTGCTGAGTCAAAACCTCTTCAGCTTCTCTTTCCCTCCTAATCGAGCCGGCGAGCAAAGCCTCGATCGCCTGCATTCATAGTTGGACCCAGGAGTTCAGTGAGAACTGATTGCAGCACTCAAAAATTTTGATTCAAGAATGGTCCGCAGAGGGATGTCCTTCCCATACGACCTTGCATGCATGAAAAGTGGGGACACCAAGAAAGCCTAGAAGAGCGTGTGAAATATCGAAGAAACACTGAATTCAGATTACGTAAGTGTGCTAAGTTATTCAAGAGGAATGTTCGCGTACCTGTGCATACTCAGGTTTACGAGGAGTAAGGACCTTGTTCTCCGACTTACTGTCGCCTGACATCTCAAGAGAGCTGTCAGGAGAATCTGGCAACATAGTCTTACAACCAATCTCGAGAAAGGCAGCCAACTCGGCGCTCTTTGAGAGCGCCTTAGGAGGAGATACTTGAACTCCCGCCTCCAGAGACAGGGGTTTCTTGTTCGGATTCGGGATTTGGAAGGAGGATCTCACACCTGCCATAGAAGAGCGCAGCTGGCATTTGGAGCAAATACTGGCCATCCCTACTGGCTCCTTCTCTGGTTCCCGGAGACTTTTCGGGTCACTTTGAAAGGAGAATCGGATATTTGTAGACCTGCAGTACAGAAGTTCCGAATGGTTAGAGATTCAGAACATGTTGCGCAAGCCCAAAACCTTTTCAGTTTAATGGAAATATAACAAGGACTAGCTTTCTACATGCGGATTACGCTAAATAGAAGAAATGCATGAACTTTTGCTTCTAAAAACGGCATTACTCTCTTACCTTCGCAAAGAGCTCTTCTGATGAAGATCAAGAATTTGGAGGCCTTTTTGGAGACTCGCAGCCAGGCGATCTCTTGGTGACGGAGAAGGCATGGACATGGAGTTGCGAAGAACGGTTTTGACATCTGGAATAGCTTCAGCACCAAAATCTACGACATCTTCGTTCTCAGCGAGGGGAATAAGACCAAACTTCATCCCATTTCCTGATGCTTTCTTAATTCCCTTTGGAGAATTACTTTCTAGTGGCATGTTAAGATCAGATGACTTACTGGAAGGTGCGTCGGGAACGTCCAGCGCTAGAAGATTGCCGTTGGCGTTATTAACAACGCCAGTGGTTGGGGATTCAATGCTAGGTGTATCCTCCACCGCTTTGCCTAACGCAAGGGTCCTGATATTCTGGTCATTCCCCTCCTCACTGCCGGAACTCTTCACCTTACAAGAATCCCGCAATTTGGGAGACCCAAGTTCCATGTCTGTGGACTGGGATACGCCAGTTCCTTGGGAGAGACGAACTGCCATCGCGTTTAAAGTAGTTTCCATGTCATCGTCTAGTTCCATATCATCATCATCATTGTCATCGTTCAGAAGCAGTGGGGCTTTCATTGGGTGACCCAAGCTGAGCCTCAGAAGGTTGTAACTTCTGCGGGCGTTCCAGCCAGTGGAATACCCACTCCCATCAGCAGCTTCCGCACCACTATTTGATTTCATCCTTGTCAACTCATCCTGCACTCAGGAAAATCCATGGGGTCAGGATATCAAGTCCACGTCACAGGTTGAGACCTCACGCTCGAGCCAGAGCACCACTGTTGATAATATCCAGAGTTCATTGCGACGCATAGTTGTCAGTTCTTTTTCCAGAAACAAAACCGACGACAGACTGCAGTATTTAGAAACTATGGCAGCTAGGACCAAGAGAAACCTTAAGCTGCCGGATTTGCTCGCGTAGAAGATTGACATCGTTGGCTTTCTCTTCATTGATAACTGCCTTGTTCCGGATGACCTTCGCTCTCTGAGCGAATCTTAGTGTACCCAGAGTCTCATTTTTGCAGCTGCAACGTGGAAGTCAGCGTTTGAAGGTCTAGTTAGTCGAGTCCAAGCACTAACAACGGGAGTGAGAACGAAGAAAACGATACCACAAAATCCTTCAAGCGAACGAGGCAAAGAGGCTTTGATGTGGGCATACCTGCTTGCTGGAGATACAGCACAAATCATAGCCAGTTTCGCGTTCCCACCTAGAGACTCTTGCAACAGAAATGTCAAACGAGAATCTCGGTATGGTATGTGACGATGTTTTCCAGACTGTGCAACTTCGGCCAGAATGTTTATCACATTACTGCAAAACCAGTTGAATCAGTTAGTGTTGGACCTAGCAACATAGTAGTGCACAGTTCAGGACAAATACGATCTCAGAATTCAATGTCGGAAATGTTAAGTGAGGAGAGCTACCCTAGCTGCGAAAGAGACTTGTTAATGTTTCCGGCCTCTTTCAGTCGCTCGCCGGCAGAACCTGTCTGTTTCTGTCTCTCTGACCCTGCCAAATCTACAAGATTTAATTTACTGCTCCTAACGCTGCTTATGCCCTCGCCCTCACTCTGCAGATCAACAGTGTGTTCGTCACCAGTTAATTGCTGCGACAATGGCATTGTAGCAATCGGCTCATATAACTACGCCGTGTGGTACGTAGAGCGAAATGAAATCAATAAGTGAAATGAAATCCAGATGTCCAGGCTATAGAGCGTGGAACAGACACCTTAGATCGAGATTCTATCACGCAGGTGAAGACAGAATGAGATCGCGAACTTTCACTGTTCATTGTTGTTGCACCTACCCTCCGGTTCGCCAGGCCCTGTTCATACGAAGTACCCATGTCACTCATTTGGTCGAAACCTGATATCCTTAGAATCCAAAACACTACGGCAGTTCCTTCAGCAGGAGAAGTCACTGAAAGAGAACTGTACCTTGATAAGAATGCGAGTCACGTCTTGAACTGATGAGACAAATTCTTCACTGAGATTATCGACATAAACACCTGATTTTGTGTCTTCTCTAATCTGTACTTATACATGAACCCACCAACGTAGAGTTACGATTATAGTGAGGATTCCTTTCCCCTGCAGGCGACCCGATACGAAAATTCATTACTTCCAATTTCAATTGTGAATTACTTAAAACTGTGGTTTCCGTCAACATTGACAAAATGGAATAGAGGATACCATGAGATTCTTCAAAGAAGGTTCCAACAGATCAGTTATCTGTTCATTGTAGATCTGCAAAGATGAACACAACGATAGTCATATTCGGGATCTTTTTCAACATGTTCCTTTAAAGTGCATTACACCCCGATTGCCTCCATGTGTGGAACCCATTACCTCCAAGAAGGAGCATCGACACTGATACACAAGCTGTTTGTCGGCATTTATCCTCTCTTCCTGAAAATTCACAATGTACGATTAGAACCACCACATGGATAGTCAATCCAATCGTCAAATGCATGCAAAGCCTCTGACTTGAAAGGAAGTAGTTTACACACTTCATCAATACGAGCGAATAGTTTCTCAAAAACTCGAGGAGTAAGGCCTCGGCCTTCCGAAGGGAAGTCTTCTGATTCTGACATCACGCCCCACATAGTGTGTGTTTTTCCACTGCCCGTCTGTCAACGGCAGCATCCAGCGGATTAGGACTCGAACGTCTCCAGTATCTAAAGCATTCAGTAATTTGAACAAAACTCATTGTGACGAAGAGTCATTGCATACGCGACGTTGAGGATTTAGCCAACTCCCCGTAACATGCGGTTCAAGGATAGATGAATTCTGAAGGAACACGATACCTGCCCATACGCAAAGATAGAGCTGTTAAAGCCTGCGAGACAATTCTCCACCATAGGTAGACCCACCATATGGAAGACAGCTTCCTGCAAGAGCATTTCAGTGTTAAGTCAGTCAGACATGAAGTTACCCCAGAGAATGCGATAATTCTGCAAAAAATCGTCCTCATGCCACAATTATTGAGTTCCGCATCTTGTGGATGACATGCAGTGAATTACTAGTGAGGGAAACAGAAAATTACTTGCGACGCATCCTCTCCAGCCACTGCATCATATGTGAACAGCTGATCGGCCAGCGAAACACCAGTGGCCGATAATCGGTGCACGACTTGCTCAGCCTCCTCTGCCTCTTCCTTCTTGTTCAAAGGCCTCACTCTAACAATTACCTGTACTCTCCCACCGTGTGAGAGAGAATCAAAGTGGCACAGAAAACTGTTAAATCCGCACGGTGGCGTAAGCTTCAAATCACAAAATGTCGAAGAAGCCTCTGGCGTATATCCTACATCCGGCGCTCACAACCATGACTAGAAGACGGTGACTTCTCAAATCCAGCACGCACCTTGACACCCGTGTCAGCTGAGGATGTTTCGGAGGCCGCGGTGGCGTTGTCTGTGTGCATGTCCCAATTAATTTTTCGTTTGATATTGCCACCCTGATCATGGCCGTGGCTCTTATCGTTAAATTGGGTGGGACCACAACCGTTTCGAGCAGGGGAAGGCCTGGGAGGTTTTGGTGGAAGAGCTGGGCTGTTGTTGTTGCAAGCAAACATTTCCTTAGAGCTTTTCGACGCCTTCGACATCCCAGCCTTGCATTGGACCGGCGACATCCCCTCAGCTGCCTGAAATTTATACGTTGTTATTCAAGTCAGCCCTTACACAAGGCACTGACTTTAGTGCGTCAACTCGTCGCAGGTACACTCACTCATTAAGTACCTCTATTTGGCTCTTCTAGGATATTTTCCGGGATTCGAAAGAGACATACCCTACGTAGTTGAATAACTCAATAAAATTAGGGTGGATGCCCTACAGACTAACCAAATTACTCGCAAATCCGTACAATAGAACTGAAAATATGTGAAAATATATCTAGGTCCCAAGATCGCGAGTAGAATTCCGTTCAGCATAAATTTCTCAATTGAACTGAGGAAAGCGAAATACTAAACTGCGATTCCATGAACAATCAGCGATCACAACGTATCGATGAAAGACTGAGCCACTACCAAAGACCTTCAGTACATTTTTAAACAGTGGCCGCACGAATGCGCCCGAAACAAAGACCTTACTAATGAGAGCCGCATCAACAAGACTTACATGGGCGTTGCTATCTGGAGGAACGTTCTCGCTATTGTTACGAGGCTTTCGCCCAGGGCTCGCACTCTTCGACCTGTACGGCCCCACATTGAAGGGTTCCTTCTCTTTCACCAACGCATCCCCGCCCCCTCGAGGACTGCTTCTCGCCCGGCTCAAAATCCCCTTCATGTCGCCTCCTCTCTCACTTCCTCTCCCTCTCCTCCTGTATCACTGCTCTTCTACTTCCTGATTAAAACACCGACGCCTCTCCTCTAATCCCCTCTCTCACGCGATAAACCCGCACCAATATCTCTTCTCTTGCCCCATACTCCGCAACCCCTCAGCCTCTTCACGAAAATCACCTACCGAGAAACACAGCACGACGCGAGCAAACAAGAACAGTCTCACAAACTGCATAACCTTAAGAATTGCCGCCCGAAATTGCGGACACTGAAGCTACAAGTAGCGAGGGAGAGCATTAATTGGCTACAAGGTTGTAGCATCGTAATGAATGCCTGGAGAACAAAAGAGTGAGTGAGAATGGGCGAGAGGGGAGCCGGAATTGGCTGAAAATCTGCAGCGCAGAGTGTGACCGGGGCACACACTAGAGAGCCGTTACTGTCTGCCTTGGAAGGGGCGAGCGTGTTTTTTGAATTTTAAACGGCTCCAATGACCACTTGGACTGATTCCTCGGTTTCCGGCCAAAACCGTTCCCCACGGCGCGGGAATGAGTCCCGCTCAGTTAACGGACGAAGACCTGGTAGTTCATCCAAAGAGCAAGACGAGTGATTTTTCATCCATCTTACTTCCAATTACAGAGCGTTTCATGCAACGATATTGAATGCACCATTACGTGCAAATCCGTTTTAACAAAACTCTACAGGGATCAATCATGTCATGTGTACGGAAAAACAAATTGATCAAATCTAAATGTGATGACCATGTGATCGCACACATTGAGTCATTCACGTATCGCAACTACTGAATAAATGTTGTAATGTGTCAAGAGGTGTAAAAATGAAAATAAGATCATAATTTCTTTTTATGAAATTAAAATTATATGTCAAATTTTTTTTCATGTCAAATAAAATAATTATTTAATTATAAAAATATATATAAATATACATGCTAAATGTATTCATTTTAAGAAGAAATAATTATGTTTAATTTTTATTTTAAAAAACTGATTGCTAAATTGTAGATCAAAAATCATACTAGTATTACTATTTATAGAGTAAAAACCTTAGACACAAAAATGATTTTTTTATTTTTTTATTTGGATTATTGTAAGTGTTAAAAGTAGTATTTACCACATGCATTTACAGGATTATAAAATATATAATTAATTCGTAGTTATTATATGTACATAACTTATATCGATTAAAAAACTCTTTAGTATATTTTAAAATCTTAATGTTTGTACTAAAATTCAATCAATTATTTATCAAACAATTTTTTTATAAAAGGGATATATTTAATATTAGTTATTAAGATAAACACTACAATATAGCACTAAATTAATTAGAGTGTTGCCACTTAAAAATACTATTTTTATTTTGTATTATTTTTAACTTAAAAAAATGAGATAAACAACCATTATCAAATATTCTCTTAAGGGAATGATGTGTAATAATTGTGTACTAAAAAAATACTAATAAGAATCTATTAACGAGAATTTAGATTAATTAATAATTTGAATTTGATTCTTTGTATTTTCAATTTGTTTTCAATTTCTGTTTGTTTGTTTTCTTTATTCTTTTTGTATCTCCTTTTCCTTTAGCATTAAGGTTTTTACTACTTTCAGATATATTTCTTCTACAAGTCTGTTATATTTTTTTATTTTTTTTTGATAAAATTTCCATCATTTTTGTTATTTTTTTATATCTTTTTGTCTAATTTTTAAACTAATGTCTTGAAAATGTTTCTTTTTCAAATTTTTTCATTTAAAGCTTAGAAAGATATACATTTTCATTGACTTGATGTAGGATTTTATTTTTTTATTTTTATTTTAACAATTCTGCATCTTTAATTTTAATTTCACCTTTTTTTTAACTTCAAAGTTTTTTTTTTCACTCCTTTAACTTCTTTTCAAATTTTTGGTTGAGATTAATTTTTTTTAAATAAGAATTTATTTTTTAAAATTAATAATAGATTAAGAGAAATTTTGATTTTTCTAATAGGATTTTATTAATATTAATAAATTATAAAATCAAATTTATATTTTTTTAGTCCCTTAAAAGGTTTATGTATATATATATATATATATATATAATTAAATCGTGACTAGAAAATATTATAGAAAAGTTATCTTGAAGAATAACATTAGTAGGATTTTGAAGAATGACAAAATCTTGAATTTAGAACCAACAAATCTTGATCCATTTAATCTAAATGTTATTCTCATCTAGTTTCCATTAAGTTTAATATATTGTTGAAGATTGCATCTAGCTCTTATTTAAAGCTTGATTGACCCTCATGTACCAATTTGATTAAGTGTTTGCATTTTAATATTTTTCAAAATTAAATGTGAAATTAGTAATGTAAATAATGTCATGATTATATTGTATTATGGATCACATTGTCAAGTATCTTAGATAATAATATTGACATTGTGAACATTATTGTGTAGTAATACAACCATTAGGTGTAAAAAGAAAGAAAGTATTTTATTACAGAAGAACCTAATTAAAAATAAAAATAAGTTTACAAATTTGAGGATTTTATGAGTTTTATAGCATATTTATAAGAAAAAGTATGGCAATTTATTGTTTTGCTTGTTGTGAATGCATATAAGAAATTTTAGGTTAATCAATTGATTAGATTAAAGGATATAAAAGTTTTGTGGATTATAGTCTCAAAAATTGGGATTTAAAGGACTAGTGAGGATTTTTAAGATATCTATCAATTTGCTAATTGGATTGAAATACAATTTTTTTTAAAGGTAGTTAGTTTGACTTCCAACAATTGTGCAAAGTTTGGAATGAATTGAGTGGTGAAATTAAGAGATTGTGGTTCAAGAATATCTACATCAAGGTTAAAAAAGAAGGCGATTTGACACTTGAGTGGAATTTAGAGATTATCTATATGTATATTATAATATATGTAATCTTCTTCAAATTTTTTGTGCTTGTTTTTAACTTAGTTGTTGCAAAGATTATAAATTTTGAGTCAAAATCAACAATTCGAGCATTAGTTATTAAATTTTCAATCCATTGCAGGTTCTATTAAGAATTTGTTAAAGATTTAGGATTCAATCAAAGATTGATTAAGATCTAATCTTTGATTAAGATTTTTTTAGGATTTGATTTAGAATATGGTTATAGTTTAGGATTTTTTTAATATTTTTTTAATATTTGATTAGAATTTAGGATTTATCTATAGTTTTATTAATATTTGATTAGGATTTGTTTAGGACTTGTTTAGAATTTAGGATTTTATTAGGATTTGATCTAAGGTTTAAGTTTGATTAGGATTTCATTAGGATTTAGGATTTTATTAAGATTTGGTCTAAGATTAGATTTAGGATTGGAATTTAGGATTTGATTAGAGTTTGATTAGAATTTAATTAGGATTTGATTTAAGATTTTATTAGAATTTATTGAGGATTGTATTAGGATTTGATTAAGATTCAATTAAGATTCTATTTTAATATTTTAAAATATTTTTTAAAGATTTTATTTATTATATGTATTTTATTAAGGTTAATATATAATTTCTTTATATTTCTCTTGTAAGTTCTTGAGACTTTTTTTGGATTTAATTAAAGATTGATTAGCATTTTTATAATTTGATTAAAGTTTGTGTAGGATTCTATTAAAGTTTTTAGGATCATTTTGTTGTAAGTACTATTTTTTTTTCCACAACTGAGTATCTAGTACATTTTCAAGTAGATTTCACATAATATGACAATATTTATGCTTCCAATAATTAAGACGATAGATGTCAACTTTGGAAGCACTTGGTTGATAATTTAGTTCCTATTATTTCCATGATATTTATCAAAGATATAGAGCATAAAAAAATCATAATTTTATAATAGATTACTATAAATAAACAAAAATAATTTTTAGAATTACTTCCAAGCTTGCTTTTTCTTATTGGACTCTTTCAAATGAAGTAGGTTATTAAATTATTTATCATGGAGAAAGAATATAGATTTTAGTAAGGTTAGACAAATTTAATTTGATTTTTTTTTTTTTTTTTTTTTTTTTTCTTAAGGAATACCAAATTCAAGAATATTAGATAATAAGAGACATAACTATTTCTGATTATTTTTTTCTTGAGTTTACTCTTATACTTCAAAATTTAAAATTTAGATCATCTAAATTTAAAATATATATTATTTCGAATGATCTTGAGGTTTTGCAACATAATAAGAAGTTTTGGTCTCACTATAATAGCACATAAGCTTTTATTCATTAAATACAAATAATTTAAAGATTCTATAAGATCTTTTTATAAAAATAAGCATTTCTAAGATTTAAGCAATGTATCAAATTATAAGAACAAATATAAGAAGTGTAAATTGTTCTTTAAGCCAATCGACAAGAAATTAGCCTTCAAGCTTAGTTTAAAAATTTACAAGTCTTCTTCAACTAAATTACAGACTATACATAAGAACAAATATCAATACAACCTTAGAATAGATGGAAACAACATAGTGATAGTTTTGATAAAGTATTTTATACAATGTTCAAAAATTATATTCCTAAATCCATTATCACTAAACTCTAAAATTTTGAAGATAAAATTTTAAAAGACCTTTAAGATTTGAAATTTTTTTATTTCAAATTTATTCCAATTCTTACAAAATAAATGTAAAAAATCTCTAAAAATCTAAGGATATTGCATTTGCCATGCTTATTGATATTCTTTTCAAAATCACAAAGCATATGAATAAGGACTTATTTTAACTTTTTAGTAAGTATGAATTAGAAGAAGTTATTAATAACACATAAAAAAAAGACACCAAAATCAAAAAGAGTAGATATTAAAGTCTTCTAAACATTCTAACATATCAATGGTAATGATTATATTTCTATAATTAATCATACTTTAGTTACTACCATTTTCTATCTTACATTATTAGAGAACATGTTATCTCCTTGCTCAAAAAAAATAACAAAACAAAATTAGGTAGCTAGAGGTCCATAGTATTATTAAAAATCTCTTATAAAATCTATACTAAATTTATTCAAAGACAACTCTAAAGAATTTTTAAGGAAGTTACTAACCATAATCAAATTTCTTTTCTCTTATTGATATTTATATTAGATAATATTTTAGTTATCCAAAAGACTATAAATTAGGCTAATTTCCAAACAACGTAAAATTATTTTTACTATTTTATTTTTCTTTTAAAATTTTATTTTTCTTATTTTTGACGACTTCTTTCTTTATTTGATTAAAATTAATTTTCTTAGTATAAGTATAGTTGTAAGTATTATTAAAACTTTTACAAACTATTTTCTTATAAAAAGAGGTGTAACACAAGGTTGCCTTTTGGCACTGTATCTTTTCATCTTAGTTGATAAAATTCTTAATGTTTCTATTCAAAATACTATCTAAGAACAACATATATCAAATATCTCTCTTCCATGGAGTCCCTATTAATAAGTCATTAGTCAATATTCTAATAACTTTAAAATTATGATTTATAGATGAAATTTTATATTTTTTAATTAATTAAATTTATTAAGAAATTTAGCCTAAAGTGAGGTCTTCAAATAAACTAATTCAAATTTACAACTTATTAGTAATTCAAAAAAATTAATTTATTTTCTTAGCTAAACCAATTTAAATAGATATAGGTATTTAATACTTATATTAAGAAACTTATTGAGACCTCTTTTGGTATTATTTAGATCAAACATAAGATCCAACAATTTTTGGTCAATAGAATGATAAAAAAAATTAGAACATTGGTATTCCGCCAAAATCAACATTACATATTGAGCCATCATTATATGTAAGATTTTACTTTCTTCCTTGTATTTCTTTGTAGTCATATAGATAGACTTTTAAAAGGCTATTTATAAAATTAAATCAATAATTAAGAATTACTCGTGAATTAATATAATTCTTTAACACAATCCAAACTAATTTAGGTTGTTTATTCCAAAGCTCATATAGAAGATGGTCTTAGCATTATCAATCAAAAAGCTTCTACCAAAGCTCTCTTGTGCAAATAGGTATTACTAACTCTTTACCAAAACCAAGCAAAAATCTAATAATATTTTAGATATTACATTATGAATGTTAAACTTATGGCTTTTATAAATTAGACAAAAAGTTTAGTATGGTCATTCATTCCATATCACAAATAGAATGTTGGGTCTAAAACTTGGAATAAAATTGTAACAATTTGATTGCATATATATAAGTTTTATTGGCTCAATTCTTAGTCTATATTTCATAATATGTGGAACCATTTTTTTTTAAAAGAAATCCTCAATTTTCTTTCATTGATATTTATTTATAATCCCATTAAGGTTCAATTACGTACTTAAATAGTCTTTATTAGAATATAATTTCTTCAAATAGCCAATATCACCACTTGTCACATTTTCTACTTAATGGTGCTATTTGGAACCTTTTTCAAATTTGTTTTTCAATCTCGTTTTAAAATATACTTCAATATAGCAACGTCCTTTTAAAATCCAATAAATAGATATATTTTCACAAAATGAGATCTAATATTATTTCTAAAGTAATATTCTAATTTCCATCAAAAGAGGATGGAATAAAAGGAAATAAGTGGTTTGTCTTACTTTGTTCTTTAGATATAAAGTTGTTTTGTTTAGACATTCAATCAAGAAGCTTATACTTTGACATAGAATTGTTACTTTAGCAAGCCTTAGTAGACAACATCAATCTCATGAAAGACTTCTTAAAAATTAATAGAATTTTTTTAAACACTAAATCAATTTTAAAAAAATAAAAAATAAAAAACCTTTTGGAATTGATTTCTTCTATGGTATAGTCAATGACTTAACTTCTAATTCTTTATTTTATTTTTATATTACCAGTGAAGAAATCATGAAATACTCTAATAAAATTGACAAAAAGTTATTACAAACTAATAGTGCTACTATCTATCTTGTGGCAGAAAAATAGGATTCATTCTTGGATCTAAAGTTTTTGTTTAATTAAAAAAAATACTTAATCTAATCTTTATTTTTGTAAAGAAAATATATTTATTTGGCTTATTTGGCACAAACATGTTGAAATCAAAACTTGGAGGGATAAAATTAATGCTCATATTGATGGTCATTATAATGTGGATCAATTTTGAAAGTCCAAATCTATTTTCTATCAATCTTGAGATTGTCATCAAGCATGTCGTATTGAGAGGTAGGCTAGATCTCTTTTGGACAAATTAAAATTCAATTCTTGGAATTAGGATCCTTGCAAAGCCTTCATTTGATAACAAGTAATATTTATAGAACTTGTTTTATCTAAATTTAAATATTTTTGGAAGATCCATTTGATAATAAGAATTTTTTATTTATAAACTATCTAAATCTAATTCTTCAAGTTTTTCTTTTAAAATAAAGTATGGAGTATATTCCACAGTAGAAGCATAGTTTAGCAAATTCTTATTGAATGTAGACAAATCTTTTGGAAATTTGTCAAAATTCAACAAGCAAAGCATTTGCAACTAGAACCATTCTTTCTTAAGAGATGGAATAGTTATTGGATGGTTAATGGCACTCTTTGTTCTAGACGTGATTTAGTTATCAATTAAAACTCTAAAATACTCCAACATGGAATAATCATACATAACAATGTAGACAAGCTTGCCTTAAAAATTGCTCAACATTTGTAGTACATTTAACTCCACCTTTAGATATAAAGAGTTAAGTAGTTTGTTGTGACTTTTATACTTTATTAATACATCAAGTACACCCTATTAATATAAAAAATATTTTAAAATAAAATAAAATAGAACTAAAGTAATTAAAATATTATACCTCAAAGTAAGGAACTCTATAAGTGTAGAATTTATTGCTATTAAGCTATACAAAAACTTTCAAACTAGTTGAATGTAGGTTTTTTGAGATATGATATCATAGAATTAGTCTCTGGGTGCCTATAAAATGGTGTTCTAAATATTGCCTTGGTTTTTGTAAGACATTTCAAGATGAATAAAGAATTTACAATTCAAAAGTATTGGTAGCAGTTAAAAGTATGATCTTATTTCTTATAAAAATTCAGCACATATTAATTGAAAGTTATGGGAAAAAAAAATTAAGTTTAAGAATAAAAGTTTAGCTTGAAAGAATTAAATGCAACTTTGTCAAGTGAATTTCTATAAATCTTTCCCAATTTGATTGTAAAGAGAGACTTTAGGTGAATCCAAAACAAAATCTTGCCACAATAATATATTGTCTAACAGAATATCCATGTGATTATTATTATTTTTGTGTACTTGGTTTCTGATTTTGCTTTCAATTTTTTTTAAAAATAAAAATGAATATCTTTATTAAATCAAAGAATAAAATATTATACAAATGAAAGTTATGCTTTCAAATATTGTGGCATGATATATTTACACATAAAAAGTTTGAATCTAATGTAATACTTATGTTAAACATGTGCTGTGTTTTTATAAATAATAAATAGAACTAAAACATTAATAATTATTATATTAGATTTCAAAACTTTACAATGATTTCAAAATTGATTCAAACATTCAATGACTATACTTGAGTTATAAAAATAACTTTCATACTTAAAGTTGGTTTTATTTATTTATTTATTTTTAAGGTTTATAATACAACAGCAGAAACTTATACCATTGACAACTAAAATCTTTGTTTTGAACTCTACAAAATATCTTCCAATTAACACATCTTTCAGTATCAATTTTGAATTGGACATTGAACAATGATAAAGGTTGTTTATGTCACTATTACTAGCAACTTTTTTTTTTGCTATAAGGGACAAAAATAATTATTGTAAAATCTATCTGGTTTTGTCTTTGGAACAATTTTTGTTCATCTTTTTGCTTTGGGTGCATTTTTTTGCACGTATGTGTGACTGTCTTATCATTACAAAAAACACGTTTCCAAAGAGTATGTATAAAAAGACGTTTTTTTATTTTTTTATTTTTTTATAATAATAAGTATGCATGTATACATACATACATATATATAGATAGATAGATATATGTATGTGAAAGCAAGGGAGAGAGAACATGGTTTGTTTTTTATTATTTTATTTTATTTATTTAACATAATTATAACTTCTTTAACACTTTACCAATTAAAAATTATAATCATTATATTACCAAATATTTTAGATATAAGAAAATATAAAATGTAAAGTGAAAATTACATCTTTAATATGCAATGATATTTTATGATAAGTTACTTCAAATAGCTGTATGTTTTGAATTGTTGTTCCGAGATGTGCTACAGTTATTCAAGTTTAAAACTTTGAAAATAATTATTGTTTATTTTCGAAAGTAGTTCAATAATGTGCATGTTTAAACTTTTTTTCCTCTGGAGGTTGACTCTCAGCCACAACAAGGATGTTCCCACGGTTTTAGAGACCGTTGCCTTCCGCCGCTGATGGCACCCACTCTCCAACACTTGTCGCGCGCTGCCTTCTGCCAAAGTTTAGATTCGCCGTCGCGGCGATCGTCTCTCCAGCTCAACGATTTTTCTCGTAATTGTATCGTATCGCTGTTCACCTTAACAGAAAACCCTACTCAATTGTCTCGGTTTGTTCATCTGCCTGTAGGAGGAAATCCAACATCATTCCATGCACGGAGGAAGGAAATCGACAAACAATTCGACGCATGTTGGAGTGATATTTTCACCTAAGCTGCGCAACTCCATCGAAGGGATGCTAATCGAGGTCTCCTCACTCCACGATCGACAGGAGTAATTGCGTCGAAGTGATGCGCCACGGCTATCATCGCAGTTCATTCTTCCCTCACCGATTTTGTATGAGTTCGAGTTGTTTCTCGGTGTGGATGATTAGGGTTTGAGAGTGAGCAGAGTGGAGGGGAAGCCATTGGTGCGTCTAGGGTTCCTTGGAGTGCAATTGGTGAAATTGCGATGGGTTTGAGCAAGGCGGAGGTGAATCTGAAGCGTCTGCTGCGTGCGCAAGTGAACCAGGCGAACGAGGCCAAGCTGGTGCACTATGTGGCCACGATGCGCACCTTGCTTGCGGAGCTTATCGGAGATCCGGCGCGTCAGGAACTGGCCACCATTCCTGCGTCCAGAGCTCGCGAGTATGCGGAACAAATTGAGCTTGTAGCTCAGAAGATACGAGATTGTAAGTTTGCGGATAATGATCGAGATCAAGCGGTAGCTCAAGTTCAAGCACAAGTAGTTGATGGTGAGAGCATTTGGAAAGGGAGCATGGAGACACTGAGGGATCAATTGAGGGACTTTGTGCACCTACCTCAGATTGATGAGGCGATTCGAGATTCGGATGCTAGTCAAGGGCCTGAGATGAGTGTGTCTGGTATGCGGAGACGGCTTCGAGGGGATGAGTTGGGTAATTTGGGAGCAAGGGAATCGTCTCGGCCTCCGGCGAGGGTGGACGCTTCCTTGCAGTCCTTGATGCAGCGGCATCGGGAGCTTCAAGAGGGGCTAACGGATGAGATGGTGATGCTTTCGGCACAACTCAAGGAGAGTAGCCTGATGATGGATCAGGCGCTTCATGAAACTGACAAGGTGCTGGAAAGCACCGAGGATGCTGTTGAGTATAGCCTTGCTTCTACGAACAGGGCAAATGTTCGCATGGGCGCTCTTTCGAGCCAGAGCTGGAAAACAAGCTGTTTGACTTGGCTCATCCTGTTTGTCGTTTTTGGCATGTTTATGTTCATGGTGGTCTTGATTAGGGTTACGTAAGCTGCTTGAATTGTTCAGGATCTTCGAGACAGGTCATCGTCGACGCCCTGCTTGATTTGTAACAATCAATGATCAGTGAGGAGTAAAAATGGAGAAAATTAATATTGCTTGATGCAGTGTGTATATCAGCCATTTTGCAAAATGGTCTTTCAGAAGTCGATGTGAGCACCGATCAGCTAGCAAAACTTGGAGCAATACTGATTGCGAATCCATCCGAGTTGGTGGTTTTCAGTGCCTCCGTAACCTTCTATGTCCGGTTGCGTAGTGGATTCCGGTGACCACAGCCTGCCTTAAGCTACATCAGAAGCATGTCTGCGTGAGCAGATGGTAAATCGGTGTAGATTAATTGTAGAGTAATGTCATAGTCACTTTTTAAGTTTAGGTTGAATTATCTTGAGCTCGATGCTGTAGATACCTGTGCCTTTCAGAATGAAGAGCTTGTTGAGGAATTCGCCACCGAATCTCTCGTTGGTGACGCTTGACGGTTGGATGAGTCTAATGCTTTGCCCTTGTGATCGAATGCTGTTGCTGCGCGCACTCAAAAATCAATCAGGTTATGGTTATATTTCATTTCTATGTACAAACTGGGAACTTATATTAGTAGTTTAGTGGCTTTGTAGGGTCATTGTTTACCTTGAACCCTACAGTTGGAGCCGACATAAACTTTTCTGTAAGTGTCGACCTTGACATCAGTCGGCATCCCCAACAGATGCGCCTTTGCATCGTACACTCCTGTTGCTTATATGCGGCAGGACCTTAATGAGCCGTCGGAGTACACCGTCAAAACGTAGATGTGTAGTTTTATCTCGTCTCTTTTGTCATTTCTGCACCCTCCAGACCAGGAGCCCGTGGAAATTGTGCCTGCTTCAAAGCAGTAGCTGCTCGAAGCTACACTGTACACTCGAATTTCAAATTCCATTTGCGGAAGAAATTAATAATTTGTTGCTTCCTTCAGTGGCTTACACTACGTTCTCGACTTCAGAGAACACAAGGCCGTTCTTCAGAGTGAAACCATCCGCCACGGCGTCAACGATGCCAGACCCTGGATCGACCCGATAACTCTGGTATAACATTAGTTGTTTGGATCTGAACCCCTTCATCCTGGCATTGACGTTCTCCAACATCAAACCCTAATTAACACATTGTTCTTACATCGTTTGTACTAATGCTTCAGAGGTCATTGTTTTTGACCTCGTCTGCTTAGAAATTTGTTTGTTTTACTAATTGGTATACATTGACAAAGCATAGGGGCAGCCAAATAGCTAAGACACATGTCCTTTGCTGTCGTGCAGGTACACAAATTAATGATAGGGTTCGTTTAAATTTTGATGAGTAGGTTAGGCTTACCGACCATACGCGGTATCTGTAAAACAGACCGAGTCGTCTCTTTTTACAATAAAGTCGTTGGGGTTGTTGAACGGCACGCCGGACTAGTTGTCGGTATCTAATTCGTCTCTCCAGGTCAAAATGGTGGATGTATACCCCATTGTTTCCCTGCCCCTGGTTGCAGGTCTACAGGTTGCCTTCGATGTCGAGGGTCATCCCACTGGCCGCGTCTGTTACGGATGACATTGTTGTAATCTTCCTCGTTGTTTTTGAAACTTTTTCATCTGAACTATCAATCAATTGAAATAAAATCATTTCATTTGAAACTAAATTTCGGCAATGAGAATTCATCTGCCACCGCTCTGTAAAGCCTGGTCGTTTGCGTTAAAAGTAATACGCCTCAGAGTTTTGCTCCTGCATCTCGATGATACCCTTCGTACATGTGGAATGCTGGTATGTAAGCACCTCTCCTGTGGGAGGATGGCATGTAAGCAGCTTTCCTGCCAGCCTTCTAGAGACAACGTGCTGGGCTTTATGACAATTGGTTCCAAAATGGGTACAATTTTTGCTTCATTACCTACAAACAAACTGCTCTCTTGACTATCATTTCTTCCTTGAGAATCTATCTTGTAGCTTCAATGATCATCTGCGAGCAAACCACATTGAGTCCCAAATCGACATGCCGTGGTATTCTCCAATTTTTCCAGTGTCTTCACGCAATTCAGCAGTAACCATTTTGTAGCTCTGTGTAGGATTGGCTCTACTCTTGTTGTCATGCTCTTTGGGAGGGATTTGGCAGTTCTTCCCCAGGCACTTAACATTGTTGCCTCTTCGTGTCGAGTGCAGCAAAATTGCTCACATTATAAGCAAGTGAACTTCCAAGTTCAGTATTGATTATTTGTAACTTAGACTAGCCGAGTTAAGTTCGTGATTAATTTAATGTCAAAAAGAAACCTAACTGGCTGCTCGGCAAACCCTTAGTTGAAACAAAGAACGAAAGGGCATTGCCACGCAAGTATCTTTTGGGGGACAGCGTTTCTTCTCATCACAAAAGTTGCTGATAATCTCATGTATAAAAATTGAGTTTGATGAAGTTGGAAGTTTAATACGAGTGCTGATGTATTGTCCATCTCATTCAGGGTGTTCGGCTCAGGAGGTAATAATCAAATTGCTCTTTCATTTTGATCTGGTGACAAGCACGGTCTTCGTCGAGAAGAGACGGTACTCAATAATCAAACATTTGGATAGCGAAAATCATGCAATTGTCCATGGCTTTGCAGAGAATGATCATAAATAAAAAAATCTCACTTAATTTGAGTACTTAAATCCAGGAAATCCAGTTTTGAATTGAACTCTGAAATCATGATCGCAGGTTCATGCTATATAGATAGCTCTGCAGCCTTATTGTACACGCAACTAAGCAAATCATCTACAACATGTCACAAATGAAATTACCACGCAGATGCTAGTCTAGTTTCAACGACGAGTTCAGAGTCGCTGCAAGTTTTGGCAAGAGGCGCTACGCCTGCAGCCTAATGTCGTAAACGGGTCTCTTATCTGGGTAATACAGTCCAAAGTTCTTCTCAATCGGATACCCTTGCTTCTGATTTTCGTTGAATAGAGCAAATATGAAGGTTTGAATCTTCACATTCGGCCGCACAGGGGTGCCGTTGCGGAGAACATGCTGGACGAGGTTGTTATTGTAAGTTTTTGCGTTCAGCAGACTTGCACCAACTCCGCCACCGTCAGAAGCCCATCCCGTCTCTGTTATCATCAGCGGCGTGTTTGCATACCCCAGGCGACTCATTGCAGCATAGACAGAGTCCACCTGAGCGTCGAAGAGGTTTCGATACGCTCTCCCAGAATCGTTGATCGTGGGCGCGTTGGGATTGAAGAGCGCATAATTAATATCTATGTTGACGGAATCAAACCGATAGGCGAAGAATGGATAGATATTCATCATGAAGACGGAGTTCTTCCTTCGCACGAAGTCCAGAATGCCACTCACCACGGATAGGTCCTTGTCCGCGAATTGTCCAGCTGAAGGTGGATAGGAGACGCTCAGCTGGAAAGCCAGTGGAGTGGACACCTTAATGTGGTTCAGTCCTGCAGATTCCAGCGCTTGCTGTATGTTGTTCATAGCTGGCACTAGCTTAGACGCATCGTTTCTGCCGTCGCTGAGAAACTCGTTCCCTACTCCCAGCGACCCGATCTTGGTTTGTGGGTACGGCCGGATGTTTTTCTCGACCCAGCTGTTGGCCATTACCTGGCTGTCGGCGATGCCAGCGACTTCTTCATTCGGAACGGCGACCGACAAAATGATACCCGAGTTTTCAAATGCGCGGAGAATATCGCCCGCCGCGTCATAGATCTTTACATCAGTCACACCTCGACTTCGGAGGAGGGAGACGACTTCGGGAGGCGAGGGGAGATTGTCCGCGACTCGCCCGTAGCAGATGCCGACAGTGGTGGGGCAGCGATCCCTGTGTTTTTCACTGCCTTTACCACCACCGTAATGCAGATCCGGAACGTCTGATCCTACTTCAACGGAGCCCATCGCAACTACAACACTTCGTCTCTATTCCCAGACACACAGCAACTCCCAAAATCAGACAAAAATATGCAAAGAACTCTCACCTGACAGTGAAATATAGAAGATCGACGATCGATGAGTCTCACCACGCGCCGCTAATCGGTCCATTGCCGCACACGATTCTAGGCTCTACGTTATCATAGCCGAGGTCTTCGTCCGCCTCGTCATCGCCACGTCCCTACTGCGCAACATCGCGGTGCCGGAACGTCTTCGAAAACAAACAAAAATGGTCTTTCACGCGATTTCCATGTGCATGAAAATGTGTCGGAGAAAAGCTGGATTCTCGGCAGTGGGAGGACGTGGAGGTGGGTTTTCTCCGAAGATGCGCACGTGTAGCTCCATGTTGAAAGACACAACACAAAATCTCATGTTTCCTTACACAATTTTCTTCGCTCTTGATAATAGATTTCCTTCACATTCGTATTTCACATTGTTGTAATCGTAGAAGACTAGACTGCAACCTTACTAACCTGGTTTTTCAACATCATTGAGATGGAAATCCTTCGATTCCTATGAGTTTCTATAACATAACAAAGATAAAACTAGTGAAAGTGAGGAACAACTTAACGCATATTCCTTTACAGTGTTGAGGTTGTGTCTACACGTAAATATTTTTGTTTAATGATTTATCTATATACTTTTTCTTTTTTTTTAATCTATTTAATAACATGTGAGCCCAAAATCCGGTAAAATAGTAATGTGTTCTATACTTCATATATTTTAAAGCAATGGGGCTGTGCAGATTGGCAATGAAGATTAGATCAACGAACGAAGAGGAGTGGCATTTAAAATATCACTGATGGAATCTGCAATTCAGTTTAACAACTCTTCTTTTTAAATTTTGTTTCGTTCTTTTTAAACTTGATTAAAAAAAAAAGATAAAGTTTTATTTATTTTTTTGTTTGTTTATTTATTTATTTATTATTGTTTCATTTCCATGAGGTGAACGTGAAGTCAAAGCATCAAAGCTTCATATTTGACATAAATAATAATATAAACCTCTCATATCCATTCAACCTTTCTTCCCTTTTCATTATTCTACACTCTTCTGCAGTATAATTCCAAGTATATATGGTGTCATAAAGTGATGGGATTATACTCATGACCAGTGAAACTTAAAAAGTAAAAAAGACTGTATGCCATGGTTGTAGTATCTAAAGACACAATGCCATCTTTGTTCAAATTGCACTCACAAGTGGTCAAATTTGCATACACTTTCTCACATTTCAAGATAAGACTTAAAGGAAGGGTATTGACTTTGTGTCATCCTATCCCCACACTCCAAGTTCATGCTTCTTTTGCCCTTTGCCTAGTTTATTCATATATAAGTTTAAAATATTTCTCTATGAATAGAAGAAATTAAGAGAATTTGATGTTGAGGTTTCATTGGTTGATGCTTTGGTAAATGTTGAATAAATAGTCTAAACTTCTTTAATAATATAACACACTCTTATTTTATATTAAGATCTTACTTTAATATTGACATGTTTCATATTTATATGAGTATATGTTATTAGAAAATATTCTATAATATGTCTATATATATAAATAAATTTTCTTCATTTATTAACTTTATTTCATTTAGAGAATTTATTAGAATTTAATAAATTTTATTTTTATTAATTTATATGTGATTTCAAAACAAAATTTAAATTCTATTTATTGAATGATTTTTATTAGAAATCACTCATATAATAAAGAATAAAACTAAAGAACCTAATCTATAAAATAAATCTATAAATTGAATAAGATTTGATAACATGATGACTATTTTATTATTGCATAAAACCAAGCAGATGATTTTTCTTCAATATAATATTTATTTATTATATAATATCTTGATTTAATTCAATATGAGCTTTGTGCAAAATCTTATTTTTCTTTATTTATATTTTAATTAAGAATAAAAAATTATAAATACATTAGATTTTTACATGTATCTTATAATGGTTTGTACATGTAGATGTTTTAAATTTAGAATTAAGTTTATTACATACTATTTTATACGCTACATAATATTGTGCATAGATTTAAATAATTTATATGTTGGTATGTATATATATATATATATATATATAAATTAATGTGCTTTATATAAAAATAATTAAAACTTCAGGTATTTTTAACATTTGATTGTTGATAAAGAGGATTATATACATGTAAGAGCTGTTGAATATTATATGTTTTTTTTCACAACTATGTAATAATGATATTATTTTATACTAAATGGTGATAGTGAATGTAATTTGCACGTCTAGAAACCTTATATTATACCCTTTTATAACTATTAATAATTTACAATTACAAATCTCTTTATATAAAATTTTAAAATAGACATGATATAGTTATTTTTTATTTTATTTTAAAAAATAGTTCCATTTAAATTTCATTGAGATATTAGAGAGCTTTGCTAAAGTAGAATTATATTCCTAAATAATATAAATTTACATTTAAAATACCATATAAAATAAATTCCAACTGCTTTGACTTCTTGATTCAACTATGTAATTAAATACAACTAAAAGCATCTTATAGTAATATCAATGAAAAAAATTTGAAAGAACAATTATGTTCACTAATTAAAAGCATCTTATAATGGTTTAGAACACAATTTGAAAGAAGAATATTTAGGTTGAAACCTTCCTTATACTAGACACCCCTCCCTCCTCTCCTGCCACACCCTCCAATGTACACAATAATATCATTGTTTTTTCATTATTTTATATATGATGGCCTTACTATTGCAATAGTTTTGTACATTTGTGCTTACAATGCTCAATTTCTCCACCTAATTTATTTATTTATATTTGTATTTCTATATTTTTTATTCTGTACCAATTTGACTACAAAAGGTTCTTGTTGGATATTTGAGAAAGGAAGAGAAACCAAGCTACCAACAAGTCTTCTTCTTATGCATGTATTTTGCAAATTCACTATATTTTGTTTTGTTTGTGAAATATTTTAAACTTTCAAATAGAAAATAATGATATAAAAATGATATTTATGTGTGTACTCAAGGGTACATGGCATGGATTGGTGTCCATGCAACAAAAGGAAGATGTCCATTTAGCTGTTTCCTTTAATAAAGAAAATATAAAGTGTTGAATTTTAAAGAAAAAAATTAATAATAATAATAATAATAAGAATTTATGTATGCATGTCTTTCATTTGTGTATACAAATTGTTCCTTACATGTCTTATTATGAATACTTTTTTTATTTTTTATTTTTTATATACTTTTATTATTTTAAACATAAGGTGATTTATTTTGTTCTCTTTGTCAATGTTAGGTTTTTATTAGAAAAAAAGAACTGATACTACATCAAGAGGCATTTCAAAATATTTCTGATATTTAATTTATTTTTAAGATTTAAGATTTAATTTAATACTTTAAACAACCATAAATATACTAAAATAATGAAAATAGACTTTGTTAAAATTTTATTTATACAAAATTATTTTCTTTTAGAGTTTTATTTGTAGCTAAGTAATATTTTGTATTTAATAACAAGGTATAGATACCTGATGTTAATGCCACAAAATATTTTGAAAGTGATAATTTTACATGCAAGTAAATTCATGTGTAGAAAATAGGTAATAAGAGAAAATATGATAAATTTTTAGATAGTATCCTAAAAACTAATATATTATACATAATATTTAAGGTGATAATTTTGTTAAGATTCTGATTCAAAATTTCTTTTGTTCTAAAATTTAGAAATAACTTACTAATGTTCTTAAAATTTATCCTTTTTTTAATTTAACATCAAGAATTGTTAAAAAAAATAAAGAATTTAAGTACTATCAACATTTTTTTACTTATGAAGGTGTTTATTTGTGTTATCTCTTATACATAGAGGCCATAAATTGTTATAGATAGACAAATAAACAAATTAGTAATTAATTCATTAAATTTTTATTCATAAAAAAGCAACATATTTCTTTTTTTATTAAAAGATAAAATAACTGTAAATTTAAATGTGTTTTTTGTCTGTTCTATTTTTGCCATGGCACTTGTATATGTCAAGTAAAAAAGAACAAAAAGAAAAAGAAAATCAATTAACATTATATGTCTTCCTACAAAAATTTAAAAAGCTAAATTTGGTTTATTTTTTCGATATAAAATATATTCAAATATATCTTAGTATTATCTTAAGTCTGAAGTGATGTATTTTGTTCATAGAAGAGGTTTTGAAAACGATAAATTATCAACAAAAATTCACGATTTGTTTTGGAAAGAAATAACATATTATCATAAGTGGAGTTTACATAATAACATAAGTGGAGTTTACATAGCATTAAAAAAAAAAAAAAAAAAATCCTCAAAAGTATGAAATATACGAAAAACTCAAGAAGCATTTCCATGTTCTTGTCAGTGCTCATCCAAACAGATTTTTCTAGTACTGAAAACGATCACTCAACTGCTTGCGACCGAAAGTTGGCGTCCGCTGGTCGGTCACCCGTCACCGACACAGTGACGTTGCGATCGGCTGCCGAGGAGGAGCTCACCGACAGATCGATGTGGTATACAGGCCTCCGATCGGGGTAGTACAGCCCGAAGTTTCTCTCCTCGGGTTCCCCGTGCTTCTCATTCTCGTTAAATAGCGCGAAAATGAACGTCTTGATTCTGTCGTTCGGTCGCCTGGGCGTGCCATTCCGCAACACATGCTTCACCAGATTGTTGTTGTATGTCCTCGCGTTGTCGTTGTTGGCACCGGTTGCGCCCCCGTTCGATGGCCAGCCCGACTCCGTGATCATCAGCTTCGTGTCCCCGTATCCCAGTCGATCCATTGCAGCGTAGACAGCGTCCACTTGGGCGTCGAAGAGATTGCGGTACTGTCTCCCGGAGTCCCAGACTGTCGGCGCATTGGGGTTGAACAACGCGTAGTCCAGACTGATTTCGTGGGGGTTGTTCTTGTACGAGAAGAAGGGGTAGATGTTGACCATGAACACGGAATTCTTCTCTTGCACGAATTCCAGTACTTCGCGCGTCACGGATTTGACATTGTCGGCGAATTCCCCCGCCGATGGTGGATAGGACCTGGAGATCAATCCGAATGCATACGGCGTGGAGACTTTGATGTGACCCAGGCCGACGGATTCCAGCGCGCGTTGGACGTTGCGCATGGCCGGTACGAGCTTTGATGCGTCGTTCCCATGGTCGCTTAGATATTCGTTACCGACCCCGATAGAGCCGATGTGGGAGTGGGGGCGGACGTATCTCTGGACCCAATCGTTTGCAGCGTCCTGGCTGTTGGCCATGGTAGTAACTCCTCGGTTTGAAATAGCAACCGAAAGAGTGATGCCTGAGTTTGCGAAGGCATGGACAATGTCGGTTGTTGCGTCGTAGATCTTCACATCGGTCACGCCTCGGCTTCCCAGTAGATCCACAACTTCGCGTGGGGAGGGGAGGTTGTTGGCAACGCGCCCATAGCAGATGCCAATCGTGGCTCCTGCTCCAACTACTCCGACAGCATCACCCCCACATCGTCGAGCCGCAGCTACCACAGACACAGTCGCGACCAGCACGGTCACAAATAGTAAACTCTTCATTGGAGCCATCTAATCTAGATCCCGCGCATCGATGTCGAACCACAGAGTCCATCGCAACACGGATCTTATATACACCGACTCTGCAACCTTCTACTGCAGCTGGATTGTCTAGTCGACACCACTTTGCAGCGACCTCGGCGTCACAAAGTCGTAAGATGATGATCGGATGCCGTCACTCCCTGAAACTGCGTCAGGGTTACAGGTGCAGATGGTTGGTGGGTGCAGCAGCGTGCCTTGGTTCTCGGTTCTTCATGCCTTGTTGCTTTTTACATGGCTAACATGTACCCTCACAAAAGCCTTCAAATCTTTATCTCCTCATGGCTCCACCTTTCACATGCCGATGTACGACTTCGTTGAAATGCGAGTCTCCAGTTTTGTATCCGAATTATTACTACAACCCAAGCGGTAGCGAGTTTCTTCCTTCGCTTTATTATTCATCAGTTTGGCCCCGAATTTCTCCATTCGATTGTGAAGCAAATTCGTTTTAATGTTCTTGTCTTTTCCTCATAAATGTTCAGCAATGACAACTTTGGTTAAAAGCTTGATACAAACAATGTCACTTCTTCTGTTATTACTCACAAATGAAGAACGAAAATGTGTGATCGGAAAATGAGTTGTAAAGTTATTCATTGAGAAAGAATTTCTGTACAAAAAGAAAATATCGATTTTTTGTTGTTCTGTGAATATCTAAACTAGCTTTTTAACAAAACTAGACTATGATTAAAATTTTATTAAAAAACAATTGACGTGTTTCCGGCTAAAAAATTATTAATTCGATATAAGAAATATAGCAAATATAAGGTTGTATATTGCATTTATGTTGACTTACTCACAATTAGTCATCTCTTAGTTGCGGCCATCGGTGCTCGTGCACTAGAGCAGATATGGGTGAGTGCGGAATTCCGAGATGGACGTAGTAGTCATCAGCTTAAGCCATCGAGTCTGGCGACGCCAGATTCATCCCCTCGAATAGACCACAACGTCGGAACCGAACAAACAACACGCTTGACATTCAACCTGACATGGACCTGTCGATGTTGATTCCCCGCTTCCCACAGTCAAGTCACGCTGATGGCATCAAGGTACCCTGGCGCTGCACATATACTCCACGCCCATGCTTGTCCGCTATGACTTGCATTCTTTATGCCTGACCTGTGTCCAGGTCACGATGGATTGTGGACAATATCATGCATTAGTTCCTCGTGCAATTTCTCCGACAAAAGTCCCTTTTTGCTACTCCGTGGTTTTTAATTGTGCTCAGAACTGAAAAATTTGGAGTAAAGAATGGGCAAGCTGGTGGGTCGACTGTGATGGAATGGAATTCTTTACCACATGTCCACGTCCAACAAGAAAAATCTGTTAGCACTGGGAATTCAACTCTTGAGGGTGTGAATCAACATTTCGGCTTGATCATTTGGTGTCTGGGTAAAACAAGGGGTTAGCGCGGATTGAATGTGACGTGGCATTCTGCAGCACGGGCAGATTTACTATTGTAACGAAGGTTCTCGACTGGATGTAAGTGAATTATTGAGTGAAACAGATCTTTGACGATGAGGTCTTTGAGATGAGGAGGCTCTAAGATAACTTGTGCGCATTAAAAATATTTGACGACTGGGGGAGGATATTTCGACTCGTCTCTTATCTCGTAGGGATATGCGGCACGTCTACAGCGTTACAGATGATATCGAGCAGTGTAGACAGTGTACAGGTGTCTCCAAAGGAACTCCAGGGCATATGCTTGAAGTGTTATCCACATGCTGTGGCTTTTGACAGTGTACTAGTGCCTCTAGAGGAACTGCATGACATATGCTTCAAGTATAAACCGTACGCTGTAGATTTGGAGTTTTGGTTTGAGCCTCAAAATCGTTCTATCAGCCTGATAGAGCTATTGTGTTCTATGTTGTTAGAATGTCGTAAAACTATAGGAGTGTTTCCAGCAGATTCTTCAAGAGGTGGAAATGTGGACCCCTTGAAGATTCTGCAAATTTGGTGTTATCACTATGGTTGTTGACAATGCTGTCAGCATGTTGGAGTAAGCTCCACAACAACGTTATAGTTGACGGATGTACATATAGTCAAAAGAATCAAGCCCTGATTTTGATACTAGTACATTTACAGACAATGACGTAATCGATCCACGTTTCTTCTTAAAATTCCATCCAAAGCTGATTCACAAGCTCCATGGCCAAGGTTCCACCAAGCCCATAAAAAGAAAGCGAATTTTCTTCCAATATCACACTCATCGACGCCATTCACCTTCAACCTTTTAGTCACCGTTTCTAAGACCTTGGCCTGTTCTTGAGTGTCTTTGCCTTGGTTGAGGCAATTACGTGATGTCGAAACTGATGGTGTTGGTGGTTGCTGCCGTTGCAGCAAGTTTGGCCCTCAGCTCCGTCAATGGTAAGCCCAGGGAAATCAAACATGCATTTATTTCGATTTTATGCCCCCATAGTCTAGCAATTCCACAAATTTGAGCGGAATGATGGATCGTCTATTGTGGTTGCTATGATCTTAGTATATGCCTTGTGCTTGTCTCTGACGGTTTGTGCATTTGGGAAGTTGTGTAATGATTGGGGATGAGTACGTGTACAGGAGCGAGGATCGACATTATCAACCAGTGTGGGCAAACCATTACAGCATGTGCCACCTGCTGCGGCGGAGCACAAGTGAACTGTTATGCGCTTGGAGGCCGCGGTGGCAGACAACAAATCAACGTTGGTGGCAACTGGCCCGCCGGTGTTATCTGGGGCTTCCCAGGCGGCAGTGCGAATCCGAATGAGGGCAACAACGCCAAGCCTCAAGCTAATTTGGCTGAGTTCACCATTGGCGCCGGAGGCATGGATTACTACGACATCAGCAATGTGGTACGTAACATCACTGTATCTGTGCTGTCTTTGATGAACCCTCAAACTCTTTTCATTATTCGCTAATTGAGTTGTTTCGCAGGATGCATACAATTTGCCAATGAGAATGGCGCCTACCCAAATTGCTGGTGGAGGATCACCATCAGGAACTCACTGCGGAACTATAATTTGCGCTATCAACGATCTGATCGGCTTTTGCAATGGACGCAACAGGCTTACGGGGCCACCAGGAAATGGATGCAAGAATGTCGACGGACCTGGGCTGAATCCTACCGATGGCACACGCGCATTCAAGAACCGCTGCCCAACTTCGTACTCGTACTCCAAAGACGACGCAGGCACTGTATTCGGCTGCAACACCGGAAGCAACTACGAAGTAGTGTTCTGTCCCTACGGATCTGTCCCGGAGTCCGAAGAAGTCATCCGAGAAATTGTTGATTGAGCGTCGTATCAGCCGAATATAATTATTATATAGTCGAATTTTAATTTAATTGTCTAGACTTTTAACTTACATAGGAGAATGTTAAATAGACCCACTATTTTACTACATCGACCTATCTTATTGTAACCATTATTAGAAAAATGGATCATTTCCAAAAACCATCATTACAATCATGGCCCTGATCTTGTTCCTCCTCATTCCTAACCTTTTGTTCCTTTTGTTCCTAGCTTTCATCCCAACCTCTTGTTCCTAATTCTTGTCACAACCTCCTCCATTCTTAGCTTTTCTTAGCTTTTGCTCTCAGCCCCAATCACCTTTACTAATTAACAAACAATGTGATTAAACAATTTGAGGTATATTCTAATTGAAGACAAGTTTTACAAAATTGTTGATATGGCGACTTGAGTTAAAATTGCTCCAATGTCTAGTCTACAATGTGATATGTAAATTGTTAAATTGATTGTGAGTGCAAGAAAAATTGTTATTTGAGAAGGAAATTGTGACTTTGGCTATGTATGAATCACAAAAGATGAGCCATGAATTAGTGAAAGAGAAAGAAGTTACTCTTATTATTGTTGAAGAAACACTTCATAAGCAACAAAAAATATAAGATCACTTAGAATAACAAATCTCCAAATTATTAATAATCTATATCGCAATTTAAAGCGAGCGTAGTATAACATTGCAAGTTGCTTCAAAGACAACAACCTCAACAGTGAAGGCATAGGAAATCAAAGCTAAAATATTAGATACTTATAATGTAGAGATGTTCAAGGTCCAACACACAAGTTCACAATTCTAAGTAGGATATAAATGCCTATATTTATTGCTAACAATAATCATTATTGAGACTACAATTAGATGAATCTTTGATTAAATTCTTAGTAATATTTTGAAGAGATGAGAAGTCATACTAGAAAAGGATGATAAAACTTAAGATGGAATTGGAATCTATATTTATTGTATATTTTTCAATGGATTTGTAGATGGTGCTTAAAAAAGAGAGACTTGAGTTGGAGTGTGAACAATAACTTGTTGCCAAGAATAGTTATAATGGATATGATCATTTTAAGAAAGAATTTAAGCTTGCTTGTAGGAGTTAAAAATAAACATTAAATGTCAAAATTTCCAAAGCCAAAGAAATAGCAAATAAATTAGAAAAAGAAATGTGGTGGCATGGATCATATGAATAAGATTAAGCCTATAATTATCTCTTAAGAGCTTCACAATCCAATTGAATGTAAAGAATTCCATTTCAATGGTTTTTTTCATCCAAAATCTAGTTAATCTCAATATTTTCTACACTCACTGTAAATTGCAACTATTCTATAACAAAAATAAGATTATTTGTAGAGCTCAATATTCATAATATCAAGGATTTACAACTTGTTCTTCTTGGTTGTATTGAATTGAAGAGTGACAATAATCACTATTGTTTTTCAAATTATACAACTTATTCATGTGATCCATGCCACCACATTAACTAATGTAGCTAAATTATTATTGTTGCAAGTTGTGCAAGTCATAGAAAAGAGGGTCTGAGACACTTGTGGAGATTAGATGGAAATGATGAAAAAAATTAAGAAGTGTAAAAGTATTCACATAATCTTGGTACACATTAGAGAGGACATCGGACTGACCATAAGTGAGCTTGCAAAAGATGTTGGTAGTTGACTACCTTCATATAAACTTGTTGCGTGCATTATAAACGATATCTTTTGTAAAATAGAGTGCATTATAGAGAAATTATACCGTTGTGGTTAAGAAAAAAGGAAGTTGGGATGAGGATTAGAAATAAAGAGAACAAGGGATCAAGATGAGAGCTAGGAACAAAGGAAGTAAGGGGCTGGGAACATGAAGAATTGAGATGAAAGTTAGAAACAAGGGGGGTTAGAATGAGAGTTGGGAATAGAAGAAGCACTAGGAACAAGGGAGGTTGAGATGAGAGCTATGATTGTGTCACGGACACAAAATACAGACTTGAAATCTAACAAGAAGTTCAAGAAGAAGTGGCAGAACTAGATTAAACAGATGAGTATAAGAACAACACGAGAAAGGTGAGCTAGAACTCCAAGAGATGTGTTGTCGAGACTGAAGAACCCTTCAGCCTCGACTCCTATATATACTATTGAATAGGAAGCTTCTCGAGCTACTTCCGCTAACTAGGACGCTTCTCCAACAACTTCTATTAATTAGGAAACTTCTCGAGCAACTTTCTAGAATCTATCAGAATATTCTAGAACCTTCTAAGGGAATCTTTAGGGAATATTCTAAGAATCTTCTAGAACCTTCTAAAGGAATCTTTAGAGAATCTTTAGAGAATATTCTAGAAGAATATTCGAAGAATCTTCCAATGTATGTCCATGACATCACCTCCTCTTCTAACTTCGAGGTCTCCGAGAAGCAATGTTGTTATCAGTCAATACCAACGCAAGAAAATGAAAATCTGTCGCATCACATCCGCTATGAATTCCAATTGTTGTTCGCGAGGCAAATGATTCATCGGCCCTTGGAGCCAACGGTAGTGACCAACACCTTCAACCTCTAACCAAGCGTGGACTTCTGTGTCTTCATTGTGAAACTGTCCTCCAAACACACCTTCTGGCTGACCGTCGTAGGCAGGCTCGACCTCAAATACAATTACTAGCGATCTGTTGCTCGGTATCCTCCGATGTCGTCGTGGTGCAGGCGGTTCTTCATCTCGCGGTCGTCTTCGTGAGCTAGTCGCTTGAAATGACATAACAAGTGTAGTATCTTGACTATCCATGTCCAAAGGCTAAAATGATGAGAGCAAACTATAGTTGCTAACAAAGTTCTACACTATCGAACTATGGGTTTTGGAGGTGCCCTCCCCCCTTTTTATGCTACTTGATGAGCAAGCTTCAGCAAGAAGCTATCGTTGAATCGGCTTAGGTTTATGAGGATATCGTTGATGAAATTCTTGTACCTTTTTTGGTGCATTGGCAAGATTTTCGGCACGCTCCCACGTTCGTTCATTGATGTCGTATCCACTCCAATGCACTAAATACTCCAATTTTCTCCTATTACGCCGTGAATCTAGTACCTTTTCCACCTCGTATTCCTCATGGTTTTCAATTTCGATACTTGGTGGCGGACTTTGTACTCTTTGGGGAAAAGCTGACTCTCGATAAGGTTCCAACAAAGACACGTGAAAGACTGGATGTACCTTCATAGTAGCTGGTAACTCCAGACGATATACCACCGGATTGATCTGCTTCTCGATAACAAATGGCCCTAATCTCTGATAGTCCAATTTGTCACATGGCCGCTTGGTCTTGATATTTCGTCGAAGAAGCCATACTTTACTTCCAACTCTAAAAGTAGGCGCCTCATTTCGATATTTATCTGCAGATGCCTTGTAACTCTCTTGGGCAGATTGCAATTGAAGCTTCAACGTCGCTTGAAGCTCCGATAGTTGCTTCACAAATCCTTCAGCTATTGGGTTGTTATTTGCTGAAGAACTCAATAAATCGAGCTTGGGGTGGTATCCGTAGTTGGAGAAGAATGGTGTTTGTTGAGTTGACGCATGAAGAGTGTTGTTGTATGCGAACTCAGCAAGCGGTAGATATGCAGTCCAATCATCTTGTTGATAGTTGATGCTGCATCGTAAATATTGCTCCAAAACTTGATTCACCCGCTCCGTTTGACCGTCAGTTTGAGGATGAAAAGCCGAAGAGAGCTTAATATCCACCTTCAATATCTCAAAGAGGGACCTCCAAAACTTGGATACAAACTGAGTACCTCGATCCGACACGATATCATCTGGTAGGCCATGATAACGATATATGTTATCAAGAAAGAGTCTTGCGGTGTCTTTACTTGACGATGTTTTCTTGCAAGGCACGAAATGCGCCATCTTTGTAAATCGATCCACCACAACAAAGATGCTGTCAAATGAATTCGATGGCGGTAGGTCCGTAATGAAGTCCATAGAAACTGAAGACCATGGTCGGTGCGGAATAGGCAATGGCTGGAGAAATCCATACGGACGATGTCGAGGGATCTTGGATCTTGAACAAACATCACAAGAAAGGACAAATTCCTTCACATCCTTCCACATTTGGGGCCACCAAAAATCTCGTGAAATGAGCTCCAAAGTCTTGTTGAATCCAAAATGTCCCGCAGCTGAAAAGTCGTGGCGAGATTGAAGTACTCGGAGTCGAGTTGGTCCTTTCGGGATATACAACCGCTCCTCAAAATACAGAAGATCTCCCTCCACCTTAAACTTGTCATTATCGACATGTTGTTTGATGTCAAGAGCTATAGAATCCTCAATGGTCGTAGTACGTACCTCGCTGAGGAAGCCGTCATCGATAGTTGCAACAGTAGCAAAAATCCTGAATTTTTTTGGTTTCAACAATGTTGTACATTGTTGACCAAACGCTGCTTCTCCAGCCTTTGGCGCAAGATACGATCTCCTCGATAATGCGTCAGATAATCCTTGCTGTTTTCCAGGGCGGTAGGTGATAATAAAGTCAAATCGTGATAGAGACATATTCCATCGAGCTTGACGACGATTCAAAATTCGAGCTGTCATGAAGTACTCCAAATTATTGTGGTCCGTATAAACAGTCACTGGATGTGCAGCTCCTTCGAGGAAGTGACGCCACTCTTGGAAGGCATCCACTATAGCAAGCAGCTCTTTGTCGTGGATCTCGTAGTTGATCTCAGCAGCAGAGAACTTCCGTGAATAGAACGCAACTGGATGAAGCTTCTTGTCTATGCCCATCTGTGAAAGCACAGCTCCCAAAGAAAAATCTGAAGCATCGGTCTCTAAATAGAAAGCCTTTGCAAAGTCAGGGTGTACCAAGATTGGAGCCGTAGTGAATGCCGTCTTGAGATCTTGAAATGCTTTTGCTGCTTGTGATCCCCATTCGAGCTTGTCTTTGCTTGTTAGACGCGTGAGTGGTGCAGCAACTTGAGAATAATTCTTGATGAAGATCCGATAGAAGTTAGCAAATCCAAGAAAACACTGAACATCTCTAACCGTCTTCGGAACTTCCCAAGATATAATTGCTTCTACCTTTTTTGGATCCATCTTCAAGCCCTCTGTAGTCGCAATGAAGCCCAAAAATTCCATCTCATTCTGGTGAAATTGACACTTCTCCAACTTGGCGTAGAGTCCTCATTCGCGTAGTTTTTCAAGAACCAAACAAACGTGCTTCTCATGTTCTTCTTCATTCTTGGAAAATATCAAAATATCATCTAGATAGATGACAACAAAGTCATCGAGGTACTCCCGAAAGATGTCGTTCATCATATGCTGAAAGACCGCTGGAGCATTGGTAAGACCAAAAGGCATGACATTGTACTCAAAATGGCCATACCTTGTATGAAAGGCTGTCTTCCATTCATCTCCTTCTTTGATTCGCACAAGGTTGTAGGCTCCTCTTAAATCAATCTTTGTAAAAATCCTTGCACGTCCAAGTTGATCTAAGAGGCCGGAGATCAAATGTAAGGGATAGCGATTTTTCTTGGTCACCTTGTTGAGTCCTCGGTAGTCCACGCACATCCGCAGTGAGCCATCCTTTTTCTTCACGAATAGGATTGGTGCTCCAGCTAGCGACTTTGAATGTCGAATAAAATTCTTGGCTAGATTCTCATCGATGTACTTCCGCAATTCTGCCAACTCCGTCTGCGATAGGTTGTATATTGGACCAAAAGGTGGTTGCGCTCCTTCCTCTAAGTTTATGGCGCAATCATATGGTCGATGTTCCGGCAGTATATCGGCGTTCTTCTTCTGAAACACGTCTTCAAAATCCCTATATTACTCTGGTATATTCGATGTTGAGATATTCTCGCCGCTAGTTGGAGCTGCATAAATGACAAATGGTGCGCCTTCCTTGGACGATCTTAGGAACGCTCTCGCTCCAATAAACATGGATTTCTTCATGTAGGTTCTACCAATAGGTTTATTATTATTTTTTTCAGGAAATATTATCCTTCGTAGCCTCCAATCAATGGACGGATTATGATCTTCTAACCAAGAAAGACCAAGGATAACAGGGCTTGATGGGGTTCTAATAATATTAAAAATAACATGACTACTATGGTCGTTAAACACCACTTCTATAGGTTCTGATTCGTGGGTAACGTTGCCTGACAATAAGGGTCGTCCATCTATCACCTCTACGTGAACAGGTTTGGACTTCTGTACTAAACGGATCTTGTGGCGTTTAGCAAACTCTTCATCTAAAAAACAAGTAGATGCCCCCGAATCCAATAAAGCTAAAGTTTTTTGTTTTTGAGGGCCTAAAAACAAAGGAATTGTAAAACAACGGGCAGGTTGGACAGAGAAGGAGGAACTTGATTGTTGTCGTGATATTAGATTGTCCAGCCGCACGGTTCCTACTGTGGCTGGGCGTCGTCGTTTTCCGGAATCATCGCACTTCTAGTCTTGACAGGGTGCCAATTTTGCTTCTTGGGGCAATTTCCAACCTTGTGACCTTCTTGTCCACAATACAAACATAACCCTTCCTCCATACGCCGTTTCTTCTCTGTTGGAGTAAGAGATCGGACACGCGCCGTGTCGATTTGCATGTCTGTTGCCTCCGAATGTGAGTTTAAGCTATTTGCAGACATAGTCACGTCGTAACAAGTCATTTGGTGTCTTGGACGTTGGTCGTGGCGACGCTGGAATAGGCGGTTGTCACACTTTACAGCTTGGCTAATAGCTTCGTTGAGCGTTTGAGGATCAGGAAGAGATAACAGCAAGTCCTTCACATCATCCTTCAAGCCCTAATAAAACTGACTCACCAATGCCTCTTCACCTCAATTAATGTCACTTGCCAATTGTCTGAAATCCGAGGCATAGACTAATGCAGAGCGTGTTCCTTGTCGTAGCGATCGGATCTTTGTTGTAGCCCATCGAACTTTATCATGCTCGCCAAATGCTTCTGCAAACGCCTCCAAGAACGTTTCAAAGTTGCTCAGGATTGGCGATCGCTTCTCGAACAAGGGAGTAAACCAAGACAGAGCTTGTGCTGTAAGCAAGGTTCCAACAAGCCCAACACGCGCTTCCTCCGTCGGATAACGTTCGGGCTGTAAAATTGTTATCAACCTGATTTGGTTGACAAAACCTCGAAACTTGGAACGAGTTCTATCAAACTTATCCGGAAGACTAACTCGAGGCTCCTTTCGTTGTAGGACTACTCGATCTTGTTGAAATGGAAGTAGAACTGCTTCTTCTGGCGCAGAAGTTTGAGGCTGATATGCTTTAGATGGCGCTATCCCAGATGCTCCATTGTTATGGAGTCCTACCATGACTCCTTCGATCTCTGTTGTCCTATGTGACAACGAGGCAAGAGCATTTATGATGGCGTCTAGTTTGGATTCCAAACTTTCAGCCATTTTAACGTCTTAACCTTCGGCTAACCTTCAGAAAGAAGAAAAAAGAGTTTTGACAAGAGGACAATATTGGTTCAGAGGAGAGTACTCCGCAACCTCTAAAACGCCTTAAGACTCCAAGATGAGGGGTAATCCACTCTCTCCAAGAAGAATAAGGCTCCAATATTGAGAAAGAAGAGATATCAGTTTAGAGGAGGGTAATCCGCAACCTCTAAAACACTAGCACACCTTCAAGAAGAGGGGTAATCCACTCTCTAACAAGAAAGAACTAGCTCTAATACCAGTGAAAATGTAGTCTCGACAAACTGTCACGGACACAAAATACAGACTTGAAATCTAACAAGAAGTTCAAGAAGAAGTGGCAGAACTAGATTAAACAGATGAGTATAAGAACAACACCAGAAAGGTGAGCTAGAACTCCAAGAGATGTGTTGTCGAGACTGAAGAACCCTTCAGCCTCGACTCCTATATATACTATTGAATAGGAAGCTTCTCGAGCTACTTCCGCTAACTAGGACGCTTCTCCAACAACTTCTATTAATTAGGAAACTTCTCGAGCAACTTTCTAGAATCTATCAGAATATTCTAGAACCTTCTAAGGGAATCTTTAGGGAATATTCTAAGAATCTTCTAGAACCTTCTAAAGGAATCTTTAGAGAATCTTTAGAGAATATTCTAGAAGAATATTCGAAGAATCTTCCAATGTATGTCCATGACAGATTATAATAATGTTTTCTAGAGATGATCTATTTTTCTAATGATGGTTAAGATAAGATAGATTGATTTAGTAAAACAATGGATCTATTTAATAATCCTCCTTATATAATACAATATATCTAATAAGTTTTTATTTTTTTATTTTTTATCAAATTAAAATAAAATTTATCAAAATATATTGATTTAATCAAAGGAAAAAATAGAACATTGTTGCTTAAGTCTTTCTATTTTGATGAAAGAACAATATTTAAAGGACTTTGAAGTCTAGAATACATCAAAATACTCTTATTTAGTCAAATATTTTTTCATGTTCTATGATAGTACATAAAGAAATTTATATATGCCACCCTATTTTCATATTACTCTTACTTTTTAGTATATTGTTAACTATCTAAGTATTATTCTAGCATTTAAGCATAATATTATGTTCTTTGGTTGTCTATCTAATTTATATCTAATAACTTTTCTCATTGTTTCACCATACTTTAACAAATGGTTCAATATTAAATTTTCTTACAAAAAAGACTTGGAATGTCATGATGAAGGAATTTGATTATTTAGGTCTAATATTTGCCAATTCTATTCTATTTTTTAGACCCTACTTTCTATTTGTGTCTAAAAACTAAAGCTTATTCAAAGTCAAATCCCTATTGTCCCAATCCTTAAGTTTTATTGACATCATTATATATCTAATCAATCATTGTAGATTTAAATCTATAATATGTAGGGCTTTTCCTACCCTTTTACACAAGATAGTCTTCATTGCTTCTTCAAAGTCTATCAAAATTTTGACCAATGTTTACAGCTTATGTTCCAACCAACTATAAATCTAGCTTCTAAATTTCCAATCTTATTGCTAATACACAAAAATATAACACAATGCCTACATTAGGTGAGGCTTCGGAAAACTGGGGCTTGCTATGAGTCGAGACTGCAAGACGGAAGGGATTGAAGCAATGAGATCTCCACACCAAGGAACGAGAAAACTGCACACCAAAACCCCGGAGAGATCACAAAAGAGGAAGCAAGTCTTCTCTGTTGTAAAAGCGTATCAGTGCAGAACGAAATGACACAAGCTCAGGAGTTGAATCCCTCGTGATCGATGGCAAATGGGTCCTACACAATGGCTACAAGAGCTAGACTTTGATATCACACAGCTGCTACGTCGTGCTTGAAATAGCTTCCGTCTGTGAGAAGCCATCTGCTACGAAAGCCAAGCTGATCTTGAAACCCTAGCTTGGGCAATACTAAGGGAAACTCTAGGGACACTGATGAGCATAGAATTCGAGAATGCAACAAACATGACCTCAAGTTACATGACCTCAAGTTACATGACCTCAAGTTACATGACCTGAATTCGTTGAGATACAGTAGTTCCTGGAAGTCCACCATGGCCGAGATTTGGGTGAGGCCAGTCGTTTCTCCTGCGGTAAAATCCTCGTGAGCAAATAACTGATAAGTGACTACTCAGCGCGTCAGTTTTGGGTACCGTCTGAGATGCCTTTTGAGGATTCGTCGTCATCTGGGAAGTGAAATCCAATAACGCCTCGTTTCTCTCCGGTGCCGAGACACCGTCGGCAGTAGCTCATTCCACACCCTCTGCAGTCCCAGCACCACTGCGGCCACTCTCCCTTGGGCAACATGGCGAGCTTCTGGAAGTTGAGGCGCCCTCGTCCAGTGCATCGGTTGCACTTGACCTTGCCCGAGCCTTTGCATACGATACATGGAGGGTCGGGGATCACCCGTGGTTCAAGCCGCACATTCTCCTCGGATTTCACTTTCATAGTTCTGGAGGGCCGGAGCCATGCACCTCCCATAAGATTGAATCCCTCGTGGGCCGCCACGGCTCTACCAGGTCGGGAGTATCCGCAGCACGACCCTGATTTATGAACGCCTTGTGAAAGTTTCGTAGACGTCAGAAAAGGAGAGGAGTTAGAGGCGAAATCATAAACCTGAGTCATGATTGCTTGCGGAATCGACATGATTTCGATGAAGAGCTACAACCCTAAGTGAGTAAGGAAGGTAACCAACAACCCTAATAATCAACCCTTCGAATTGCAGTTGCGGAGAGTCGAATCTTCATCCTGGTAGTTTTAAAACCACAGTACAAATTTGAGCAGGATATTAAGGTGATTGAAATCACGACGCTCTCACAAGTTTCACGTTTATAAGTGAGAACAAGAGGAAAGAAGGTTTGGAATACAGAATGTAGGAAACTATCCCGATATGACAAGCTGGAGATTCAGTGACTAACAAAAGACCAGACTATTTGTATCACATCAATTTCCCGTCCTAAAACCCAGCTATGAGACAAATGGATGCAAGAGCTCCTAGAAATTGCATAGAATTGGTTGCACGAACCCGGCGGCGTTGATTGAAAGCCACAAGAGAAGCACCTCCTTCGAGAATCACCATTTTCTGTCCAATGCTCTAAGCATTTCGAACTCTCCACTGTTCTCTGCGAAACAGAATGGTTTCAATTCACTTCAATTCTCAATTCAGAATGGTCTCAATTCAGCTCTCTGCGAAACAGAAAGGAGATGCAATTGATAAGGTGTCCAACTAACCAATTGCAAAACATTCAAAATGTCCGGTAGAGGCCCTTCTCAGAACCAACAAGACCCAAACTAATGCAGCCAAGGTTTGCGTGCGAGTAAAAAGGATAAGTTTATACCTTTTCCTGCCGCACATGGGACGAATCACGACAAACCAAACAAGCAACAAATCAAACTTAAAAGTCAGAGCTCAGAATTCATGAGTATTCCAGACTAAGCATAGGGTTTCAGATACTATGACAATAAGTTGGGAATGCCTTTTAAGAAAGTGGGTTTGTACTATGGATAAGCTCTTGGGTCTTAATAGCAGCTTTACGAAAAAATGAGCACAAGATGACTTTACGAAATCTTCTGTTGCGCAAAGAAGCATGTCTTTTCATTACCCGTTTTTCGAATTTTTTAATTTTGATTTTCTACCCTGGTGTAAATTCATGGGACAATTTTTTTAACTTTTCACCAATCACACTGCCGCCCCATTTCTCCAAATTTTGCAATGATATCTTGTCGCACAACCTGCCTCACATTAGTCCATAGATTGAGGGGTTTACACGAAGTGTGAGGCCATGGCATCAAAACTGACTCAAGACTTGAGGTGCGATCTTATCAGAGAGGTTGCTGTTCGAAGAATCCGTTTTGCACATGACTTTAGTTTGCTTTCTTGTAGTTGTATGCAGATCCGGTAGAGTTCTCTGTAGTATAGTCGCACATTGTTACATTATGATGTTAATTAGAGGCTCTGAGAATTCAAAGCGCTTGCGTTGCATTACTTTCTGCAGGTTTTGAATCTCCGGACGACTTTAACCTTTTTGTCTGACATTGGTTTATTCGAGGGCATGTTGGCGAATGCGGGCACATTGTAGTTTGTGATTAGGGTAACATTGAGTGACAGTTGAGAAGATGAAGCTGCAATTTGGAATCATGAGAAACTGCTGCTAATCAGTGTGTTTGCCATTTGTTTGTTGAATTCTTTTTGGAGATGCTAATCACCCCAGACCTGTGGTTCTATGCAACCTCACGGTCACCGAATCGTTTTGAGCTCAGTTGGAAATCATCTTCCTTGCCCGAAATAAACTTTGTTAAAATATCAATCAGCTGGTAACGTTCGCCTTTCAATTTCTGCTCTATCAATAATAGGAATTGAATTCAAACCTGCTTCAGCATCTCATTGCATCGAGGCTTATGTCGGTTGCATGCGATTAGTTCTAACAGAAAGGATGGGACACGAGGTTTCCTATTTGCCATCTTGTACCAGCTAAGGGAATAACCCTGTGTTTTTATTATTTTTATGTAGGGTGAAAAATCACGAAGGAAATTGGCTTTCAAGCGAAGGTGGTGATGAAGTACCACCGTCTGAGTCGGTTTCTGAAAGCATAAAATGGAGACGACGAACCGGAGATTGCTGTTGCGCTTCTGTTCCTCGGACTCTGGCTTGTGTCGCTTGCTCTCTGCAGCATTGGATTCAGTGAACGAATTGCACTGCTTGTACTCACTGTAATCTCAGTGCCAAAACACCCTCTTAAGGTCTTAATCTGGTGAGTGAAGGAGACATGGGAACGAAGTAGCTAGTCCGCTGAAAAGAGAGTCTTGAAGGACCAGGACAAAGTGCACTTGAGAAGGACCAAATCGCCGCAGCAGATGGATCCTTCATCTGAGGTACTCATCCTCTTCTGGCAGTTGATATTGAGTCATGTAACCATGTTCTTTACTCGTTAAATTTCTTCTTTGATGTGATTTGTTTGAGTTGGAAGTGTAGAATGGGCGGGCTATCACTCTACGTTCTAAGGTATCGGTGCTTTGAACCAATTGTGGAGTCTCCCATGGCGAATGCAAGGTACAATTTTTTTGTCATGAATGTTTTCCCCCTGATATGTTAATTCTGTGTTCAATTCTTTCATTCAGAATTGTGTCTTTTCTCGTATGTTTTCCATTCATGTATTACTGATATAAAGATAATGGCTCTGAAAGCATGTTCTTGAATTTGTTTGAAATAGAGGTATAGTGTAGGAGATGCGGAGAGAATCATGGGTAGCTCTGGGATCCTTTACTGATTGGTGTATGTCTGATTTTGTGACAGCGAATGGGAAGGTGTCGAACAAGATTGTGAGAAAGCTTTGGAGCTGGATAATACCTCACTGTCAAGGTAAGATTAGACGACATTCCTCACCATTGTTGATGGCCAGCGCAATTCGGTGGAGCCTCGTAGAAATATTCCTTCACCTTAGCATAGTGAAGGAGATGAAATTTGAGAAAGGATTAAAGAAGTGAAAGAGGATGGTAGATTGTTTTACACAGGCAACTCTACAAGCTCAAGATCTACGGACTACCAAAAGATCTTTATTCTTGTGAAGATGGTATATAGATACAAATAAGAGCATTCAATAGAATAAGAAATCAGATAAGAGCGTGGAGCTTCTTTTCAAACTCAGCAGTGACCATCAAAATTTGTTGGTTGAACTATTTTAGACTTTGTTCCTACAAGATTAGAAATAAAGACCTAAATCTAATCACCAAATTAGATTTAGGTAACTATGGTTGTAAAACAATATAAATAATACTGTTGTTGTATTACATGAATTTTTGCTTGAAAATGTATCAAACACTTGGTTGTAGAAGGTGAATTGGAAATTGCAACAGTAAAATCCTAATAATCCTAATATGATCTTTAATTATCTCTAATTAAACCTTAAAAATTACAATAAAATCTTTATTAAATCTAAAAGAGGTCTTAAATAAATTAAGAAAATATATAAAAAATTTAAAAATTAACCTTAAAGAAAAACAATAAATATGAGTAAATATTTTTAAAATATTATAAATAGAAATTTTAAGTAAATCCTAAAAAAATCTTAATCAAATTCAAATGTGTTTCTAAACAAATCTTAAAAAAATCATAATGAAATCCTAAACAAACTTTAAATAAAATTTAATTAAATCTTAATCAAATTCTAATAAAATTCTAAATAAATGCTAAATAAATCCTAAATAAATCATAACCAAATATCATAGTTGATTTGAAACTCTAATAGCAAATAGTTGAATCACTGATTTGAATTCAATTTTTTTACATTTCAAACTTTGAGCAAATAACAAGCTTACAAAATTTGAGAAAAATCAAATATACCAATTAAAAGCAAGAATTCATAATATCCTTAAATAAGAGCTATTTTTCTTCTCCAACTTGAATATTGATCTTTATGCAAAAATTAATTATTTTTTAATTATTCAATTGCTCTCTAAATTAGCAAAATTGTACATACTTAAATCTATAATGCTCTCAAAAAGTTTTACATCAATCAAACTAACAGATTTCTTAAGATTTCAAAAAACCTTAGTAATTCTAAAATTCAAATATCTGAGACTCCAATTCAATAAAACTTTTATATCCTTTAATCTAACCATTTGATTGACTTCAAATCTGCAAAAAAAATAAATATGACAAGCACAAAAAAAAACTTGCAAAATTTCACCTATAAATTTGCTACAATATCTACAAATTCTTCAAATATGTAAGCTTCTTTTTACTTCTCAAAATCCAAAACCTTTGAATACATTTTTTACTTTGAAAAGCTTTCAAAAAATCAATATGTCTCCAAATCACTTGAAACTAATGCTAAAAAAACCTTCTTAAAGTCTTTTTTAAATCTTGCTCTCTAATCTATAAAAGAATCCAGAATTGCCAAAGGTGCATGATTTTGTGCCTTGGCATTTGGTTTTGATCTTAGTTCACAAGTAGTCTATTCTTGGTATCAATTCTTTATTTCTTAAGAAAATTTTTCCTATAAATTATTCTTAATTTCTTTTAAAAGATGCTTAAATTATAAAATTTTCTAATTTATTTTATTTTAACTTACTTATGGTCATATTAAATTAATAAAAGTATTTTTTATAAAAAGAAAAAATTAATACTATTTTTTTTTATTATCTTTCTATCTTTTATCCATATTTTGTTACTATATCTTTTAACTAGGCTCTTTTATTATAGAATCTATATTTTTATCTTTCACCATATGGTCGTATTACAAAAAAAAAAAATTTAATGAATAAAGTAAGTAGTGTGATTACATTGATATTATAAATAATTCTTTTATGTATATTGTATAACTTCTTTATTATATTACTTCTTTATTCTATTACATTTTCATAGTATTAAAGAAGGTTTTGAATTGAGTTAATGCACCATCTGTTTTTATACTCTCTATTTTTTATTTTATTTTATTTTATTTTTATTACTTGCATAATCATAAACTTTTCAAACTTCTCACTCCTTCTACATTCACTCCACTATCCTTCATTCAAAATATTTACAAATATCATTTGTAAGAATTAGTAAAATAACACTACTTCAGTATAGCAAACACACTTTATTACATGATAGTAGAAAAAAATCTCTTAAACAACCTCGATTACTAAGAATGAAAAACTTTAATATAGAGTATACTACAAAGAGATGACCTATAGGATGTAATATATATATATATATATATATATATATATATATATTATCTATACATGAGGTAACATCATTATTTAAGGAGTTGAAAAATAAATAAGCAACCAACTCAACAAAATTTGATCTTCACATTAGCTACATATGTCCCGCAATTCAAAAGAAGCACTAAGATAATGCCTTATCTTTGTTTTTTTTGTTACTCACAAGATATTGCTATGCACTAAATACATAGAAGATCTCAAACTTACATGGATACATCTACAAGGAGTATTTCAAATAAACATTGTCTTAGACACAATGGTAGTACTAAACAAATAAAATTCTATTAGAATGCATAAAAATTAAGATTTTTCATCTTTTATTTTTTTAATTTAAAGCATTATTAGATAATTAAAAGATATAGGATACCTAAAAAGTAATATTATCATAGTACAAAAGATACTAAATTGTCTGCTCTCTTATTTTGCTAATTTCTTTCAAATGCTTCAAAATAAAAAGACATTTCCTATTTTGAATGAAATAGCAAGTATAGTACAAATGGAAGAACCAAATGAAAAATTATGTACCTTATCAAAAAACAACAAAGCCTTCGTGATGTGTATTCAATCTACGATTAATTAAAATTGATTTTAAAAAAAGAACTTTGGTGGATCAAGAATGCATACTCTTCTACATCCAATAGTCTAAACATACTAAACAAGAGGCTACAAAAATCAAAATCTTAGAATGTCCTTACAATCTAATCAAAGAGGATTATTAGAAAATTTAACTTAAAAAACAATAACAAGTTAGAGATGTAGAAAATAAAGTATATTATAATTTTTTTCATGACACTAATATCAATGCAATTACCACAAGATATGCCAAACTCAATAGCAAGTTGTTATAGAGCAAATATATTTAAAAAAAACCATCATATATTAACACATAATAGTGAGATTTTTCACCCATCTAAATCTAACATCATATGAAGTAATAAGGATATCAATTAAGCTTTAGTAGTATTGTTGTATTTGAAATTCTTTAAGGATAAAAGCTGATTCTTTGACTTGAGAGCATCTAGATATTTCATAAGAGATGTTCAAATATTTAGTGACTTAATCTTAGTCTAAAATCTTTGTCTAAAATTATTCTAAAAAATTAGGACTATCACTTTTGTAGGAAGTTAGTTTCATGTCATTCTATGTCATTAGATTTTTGATTTTCACACATCCTCAAATGAAATTTAATATATATATATATATATATATATATATATATATTATGTCAAAAATGTATTTAGTATCTACAATTTTTTTTTTTTTTTTTTTTTTTTTTTTTTGTTGGCCAACTTTTAGACTTTCACAACATGATCTTGCTTATAAAACAAAAATTTGTGGTTTTATCTAATAAAAAATCATATGAGATAATATTAACTAATACCAGAGATAATTCAAATAAATTATACAAATTAGAATTTTTCAAATATCTTTTCAACTACTCCTATCCTATTTAAGTAAAATCACAAAACCAAGTTTAAACCGTCTCCAAGATAAATTAGAATTTTTATTGTTAAAAAATAAATAAAAAATTAAATTATCATATCTTTGGTATTATAAAATGAGACAAATTAGCTACTTAGGGTCAATCTCAATAAAAAACTTATTTGATCTTAACAACAAACCTCTAGCTATAAGAAAAAATTATTTGTCCTATTTGCTAAAAACTTTAGCTAGAGGTTTGTTAAAATTTGCTAAAAAATTATTTGTCCTATTTGCATGCATGCAAAACTATCAAAGAAGAATACATCCAAAAATGCTACTCACGAGGCCACCAAATGTCTTGATCTAATCTACTCAAACATGTGTAGAGTACTTCCAATTACTTCTTTAGGAGACTTGAACTACTTCATGATGCTCATAGATGACTACTTCCAAAAAATATGGATTTATTTTCCACAAATCCAAGACTAAAAATTTAGTAGTTTTATATAATTTAAAATCTAAATTATATGCTTAGTATGTAAGAAAGAATTTTTATCCATATAATTTAGCAATTACCTATGCAACTAATCAATGTTCACAAACCACGCCCAAATGGTGTATCCAAAAGAAAAAATAGATATATCTTAAACAAAATCAAAAGTATATTATAGGAAGGTAAGTACCAAAAATCCTTTCAACCAAAGTAGCACAAAAGGCCATTTGCATCATCAATTACTCTTTTATAGAAGCAAATTTTAGACAAACATTAAAAGAAAGGTTCTCCCTTTTAAAAACCAGTTTTTTTCAATTTTGCATCTTTGGTTGTTTCTTATACATACATATAAGAAAAAATCAAAGAAAAAAAAATAAGAATTTAGAATCAAACTTGGAATTTATATGGGCCTTGATGAAAAAACAATAGGTTTTATAATTTATACATCTTTAGATTGTAAAATAGTAATAACCAAGGTTGTTATATCATATCACTAATTAATTAATATTATATTTTAAATAAGAAACCTCTAGCACCTTTAGTTATTTCATGCCCACAACTAACTATATTTTTTAATTGCAAATAGAAGTCTATATTATATCATAGGTAGATAATTTTTTTTTTTTTTTTGGTTTGACTAAATTCTACAAGTTTTAGATATCAAAAAGAATTTTGATGTACTAAATACTTGTTTTAACATTTGAATGTATTAAAATCACTTGAAATATTATGAAAATAATAAATAAATAAATTTATGACCACTTTTGCATTCATATTTTAAGATTTTTTTTTTTTTTTTAAAAAAGGTATTTTTTTAATACCGATCATTTTTATTTTAAGCATATTATAAAGAAAAAAATTATTTTCTATTTCTACAATAAAAAAAGACTTTAGGTACAAAAATCATACATATCAAGGTATTTTTTAATTATTAATAATATTAGAGACCAAGAATACAATAAAACTTGGTATTATATTAGTTTGAATTCCTAAGATGTAGAAATTTAATATAAAACTTATTATAGTAGAGCTTATTACTACTCCTAAATAAAATATTTATAAAGATATAGTACTTTTGGAATTAAAAAAGAAACAACTAATGACCAAAAAAGATTAACAAAAAAAAGAATAAAA